TCAGCTGCCGCCTCTGGCTAGCCCTCATAGTGAACAGGGAAGTAACTTGCATAAGTCTTCCCCTGCCAGTACACAGCCTCTTCACCATCAAGACTCCTCCTGTGCATCCTCGTGGCAACACACGGTAACTGGGTGCCTCGTGGGCCCAGGCTAGATCAGCAGGGGATCTCGGAGTAGCAGTGGACCCCAGAGAGATAACACATATGCCCACTGGCATGTAGACACGTCCTGGTGCCTACTAACCACCGCCCCACTGTCTTTCGGATTAACCTTGGAAGGTATAAGGCTACGGGAGTAAACCCCGAACGAAAAATCTGCTGTGGAGCTCCGCATCAGGCAGAAAAGCTTACAGAGCTCCAACAACACCCCAACGGCGGAAGAGGTGACGACCATGGAAACCCTACGACTACACCGGCGGACGAAGGCAATGCCAGACGGATAGGCTACTACGGAGAAACCCAACAAACTGGGCTATCGGCAGTCCATTGCAACTCTCCCTCTCCCGAGTCATTGCAACACTTGCACCACTGGATCAGGAAAAGGAAGAGTCAAGATGTGTGGCTGCAGCCTGCATTCCTGCCTCACTATATAAATTAGCTCACGTGCAGCCATCACTCAGCTCATCATACCTCTCATCATCTTCAAAACCCCATATACCCACAAAAAGTCTTATGGCGACGGATGAGTATCGACGGGGATAGGCAGAGATGACCGCCGGGAGTCTCTAGTCACAACTCTGCACATGGGTGGCACAGATAAGATGGTCGTTTATGCACTGGGATCTAGGCAGCAATGCAATCCAGTCCTGCCTGTGCGACTGAGCAGCCTTTTCGGGGAGCCACTCTGCTCACCCCACATGGGGAGGGGGCTAGAAAAGGTGCCCTAAACTTAGCCTGCCTAAAAACCTAATCTGACTGGGCGGCCGCACCTTGTAAGGACATATCTCATGCGGTGGAACCACAACCAAAATCACAGATCCAAACAAAAAAGAACCATACAACCTCTTATGGTCACTGCATGGAATGTCAACACTCTTCTGGATACTGACACAAATGCGTGTCCTGAAAGAACAACTGCCCTTATGGCAATAGAGCTGGCTAGGTATAACATCGACATAGCAGCCATCAGTGATTCCCGGCTTCCAGATGTGGGCCAACTCACAGAACGGGGGTCTGGCTACACCTTCTTCTGGAGCGGTAAGCCTGCTGTGGAGAGAAACCGCATTTATGGAGTTTGCCTTGCCATAGGCCAACGCATCCTACACAAGCTAACTGAAATGCCTATTGGGATCAACAAGCGCTTCAAGACGAGTCCAGGCAAGAACAAAGGTGTCGGCAGCCTCCATTACTGAACTTCAGTATATAGAGGACGTCACCCTTGTTGCTCACACTGAACACGACCTACAGGAGATGCTAATCACTTACGCAGATGCGTATGCAAACTTCGGCCTTGAGGTTAATGTATATAAGACTCAGACACACCACCATCCATCCAGCTTGTTGCCCACCTTCGGTATCACGGTTCCCGCCTGTCCACCACCGCAGACATCGTTGAAGAGATTCAGCATTGGATCAGATGTGCATGTCAAGCCTTTGTCAGACTCCGAAATCGTGTCTTCAGCGGCAGGAAGCTGAAATTTTCTACAAAGCTGCACGTATAACGAGCAGTGGTCCTCCCCACCCTGCTATATGGCAGTGAGACATGGGTTACATGCAGGAGGCATCTCAAGGCACTTGAAAACTTTCACCAACGTCGTCTACGTTCCATCCTTCGAGTTGGATGGGAAGACAAGAGAACAAATGTCAGTCGTTTTGCTGACACCAACTGTAGGACCATCGAGGCTACCATTATCCATGAACATCTACGTTGGACTGGCCATGTTACCCACATAGACGCCAGTACACTGCCAATGCAGCTACTTTACAGTCACCTAACGAATAGTAAACGTAACGCCGGCGAGCAATTGAAAAGGTATAAGGATAGTCTTAAGACAAACCTGAAAAGGTGCCAAATCAAGCCCCCTCACCTGGGAGTCGATTACCCCACATCGTAACGCTTAGAGGAGCACCACATGAGAAGGTGTCAATACTTTCGAGTCAGACCGGCTAAAAACCGAGGCAGACAAGCGCCAACGCTGGAAAGACGCTGTCGCCGCCCCTCCCGCACTAGATGCAGTAGACTGCCAAAGCAGCTACTTGACAGTCACTTAACGAATGGTAAACGTAATTCTGGATGAACGTCATACTCGATTCTGATTGACAGCAACGTAGTAGTAGTAATGTGTGTGTGTGTGTTTGTGTCTGTTTGTAATTATCATAAATTATAATAATTAACGGTTTATTGAAAGAGCATGGCAGCCGGAAGGCTGATTATATACAGTTCCATAAATGGGGAATGGGTCTCTTGATTTACACATAAAATACAAGTAACATAAGTGCTACAATTATGGGAAGTAGAGTGAGGGGCGATATGATCGAGGTGTATAAATGGAAGTTAGGGCTAAACAAAGGTGATATAACAAAGGTAATCAAACTCTCCACCCAGGAGCGAACTCTTTGCAATGGTTATAAATTAGACAAATTTATTTTTAGGCGCAGGATAGGTAAACATTGGTTTGGAAAGAGAGTAGTGGATGAGTAGAACAAGTTACCAAACATCATCATTAACTCGAATACGCTGGATAGCATCTAACATAGGTTGGATGGATATATGAGCGGTATGGGCCAATAGGCCCGCTGCAGTTTCCTCCATTCTAATGTTCTTATGTTCTTATAATAAATTGGTGGGGAGGAGGTCTTACTAGAGGGCATTTTAACATAGTGTGACATGGTGTGTTTGTGAGTGTGTGTGTGAGTGTGAAACTCTTCGAGGTCAATATTCTATCAAAAACCCTTGTTAAATGCAAAGATCAATAGCAGAGAAAATAAATGACTTTTTATTCTCCTTTCATTTTAATATTTGTTTTCTTATTCATAGCGAGTGTTTGTCTGTAAAGCTGAAAATCTGATTGATTTAGGTAAAATACTCAACACTGAAGATTAAGTTAATTTTTTTTAATGGAAAATTAATCTGGATAAAACATCATTCAGTGACAGAAGAGACGAACACTACATTTGAATAAATTAGAAATCTTTCAATCCACATATGAATTAAGTAATTCAAGTGAGAAAATATTTTAGGACCTAACAATTTCACTTCATCAAAACTTATATTGGAGACACTGACCTGCATCATGACAACAACCTGAAGTCTCCCTCAGTGGAGAATTACCAAGAAATGTTGTGATGGAAAATTTCCTTATTCCGCAGCACAATCTTCATAGAAACCGTCAGGTAGACCAATTTCTGCTTCATGTCACGCGAGAGACATAACACAGCAGATCTGGGAGGAGCTTACGTGTTATTCCCGGGTGACTCACTGTGTTGTACTGCCCCAACACTCCGAACTTTACTCCCGCTTCCTGGTGTCTCTTGTTAATTCAAGATAACTGTATTATATATATATATATATATATATATATATATATATATATATATATATATATATATATATATATATATATATATATATATATATATTGATAAATCACACAGGGAAAAGGGAAACAATGGAGCACCTTAGCTTTCGTCCTTATTCGTATATGAAACAGAATTTAGTACGAGTTTTATTATTTTACGTATCACCGCTACATATTTATACCCCCTCGCCGGTCATCTTGCCGTTTGCCCAGGAATACGTCCTCCTAAATTGGCCGTTAATCTCACAGACTAGGACCCCTTCGCTGAGCTGCGCTGATAATTTTCAGTGACCCGGCAACCTTGGCCCGGCTCACAAAAACTTTCCAGTGGTTTGATGATTTTTTATTTTTTTGTTTATGATGTAAGGTGAGGCACCTTGCCATTTTGGCAGGTGTCCATGACTGTCAATGTGATGCACTAATGACTCTGATGTACGATGGTTTCTTATGTCATATTTATGCACATTGAATTCTCACCCCAACATCTCTTGAGATTTTCCCGTAGTAAACAACGGAACACGCACTACATGGAATCTTATATATGGCACTTTTCTTATTACTATTACTATTATTATTATCAGATTTCTTGTTCACTACGTCCTTGATTTTCGTGCCTGACGCATTAGCTATTCTCACTCCTGCCCCCATTAGAAACCTGCTGACACTCCCAGCAAGCTTTGACTACGGCACCGACACGAATTCACTTTTTCTCTTTCTCTGTGTCTCTTTGTTACCCAGCTATCTTCATTTAATACTTCTACTGGATGCATTTGTTTCTTGAACGCTTCCATGATGTACGTGAATTCTCCACTTACATATTCTTCAATGCAGACACGTAACATTCGTAGAAAGAAACCGATCACCACTCCAGACATAGTTCTTTCATTATGTGCGGACAGGTAATGTAGAAAGTCATCCCTATTAGTGGGTTTACGATACACCGAGAATCTTAGAAACTCCAACAGATTTGTGTACTACCTTCCATTTTCATCGTAAACTGGGTGTTTGTATCTACATTGTTTAACTTCCTCAATTTGGTGTCTACGTTGGTTTCCTTCTGGATCACAACTATTATGCCATCCACATAACAAAGTCATGTGGGACCCCTTCCACATGGTCCGGTGGCATGAGTAGGCCATCAGCGTGCCTGAGTCTAGACTAGAGGAAAGGGATGAAAGCAGGAGTGGGTGACCTGGTTCTGGAAGGAGTTAGAGAACTCTCAGAAAGATATGTATTAAGCTGGAAATAGCACACCTGATAAATCTCTTTTTTTATTTTATACGTATATAATTCCTGAGATACACGCCATTGAACCTGTATGTAGACGAAAGAGCTCATTACTCTCTTCAAATATGTTAACATCAAGAACCATCTACTGTACTTAATTAATCATGTTTGAATTCCCACAGCAAGCTGGGACGTGACAACAAGACGAAGTACAGGAGCATTACCCAACACTATTGATGTGTCTCTCCGCCTTCAGGGTTCCCGGCACCGATCGTGACGTGGTGGCAGGACCTGAAACTCCTAGACAACAGCAGCTATGTGATCAGCAACAGCGGGCCCTCACAGACGGTGAACGAGCTAACGGTGGGGCCCCTCACACGACAGCTGGTGGAGGTGCCCTTTACCTGCAGGTCGGAGAACAACCCGCTCTCATCTCCTATGGATCGCACTGTTCACCTTAAGATACACAGTTAGTTCTACAAGGTTTTATTTGTGTATATTTTGTGTGTGTGAGTGTGTGTGTGTGTGTGTGTGTGTGTGTAGATCACGATGCTATTCTTCCTTCGTTTCTCTCTACCTAGGGAGGAGACGTAGACTGGTTCACACCTTCCTACACATGTAATTTGCCCTGCACATGTCCTTAAAACCGCGTTACTGATTTCGATGGAATGAAATGCGATGACACATCTTAATGAAACAATAGATAAGACACTAAATTCAAGTCTTTGTCAAAGGTCAGAGTCATAGCATGAAGGTCAAAACTCTTTGATCGATGACATAAGTTCTGTTCACAATATCCATGTCTGTTTACATAGAAGAATACCATTTGTTTATGATTTTTTACTAAAATTTACTTGCTCAAAAGAAATTTGGGGGGCATGTTTTAATGGAAAAACACTCCTTTAGTCAAATTTTCTTCTTTTCACGGAAAATATATTTTTTTTCTAAGAAAGCGCTTTAGTTTGCGAGATTTGCGAAAAAAAAGACATTTGTTTTTCGTGTTCGCATTTTTTTCATGGATAAATTATTTATTTAGTAAATTTGTTACTTTTCAAGGAAAAAGCCTTTTTGCCCCCCCCCCCCCAAAAAAAAATGTTTTCATAGAAAAAAAAATATTTAAGGTAAAATAAGCTTTTCTCATAATTTGTTCGTAAGAAAATGAGTTTCTTTGTAAAATTATGCTTCTTTTAACGGAAAACGATTGTTTTGGACTGAAAAACGCTTATATATATATATATATATATATATATATATATATATATATATATATATATATATATATATATATAAATATATATATAATCAACGACCTCACCAGCCAGGACTCGAACCCTCGACCTACTATGTGGGACCAGGGAACGCTACCGACCATGCCACAAAGACACTAAAAGCAGTTGATTATATGTTCAAAGTCAGCATGTTATATGGACTAAAAATGAAGTATATATGGTACCTCGTGTTTCATACCAGCTGGATTGGGTAAAATGCTACTGACATCCACATAAATGGCACGGGCAGTTCCCAATGAGAGGTTCACGGCGCCATCAGCTCGATGAACAGGCTTTGTGTGAAATATCACTGAGTCCAGAACTGCTTTTAGTGTCTTTGTGGCATGGTCGGTAGCGTTCCCTGGTCCCACATAGTAGGTCGAGGGTTCGAGTCCTGGCTGGTGAGGTCATTGATTATATGTTCAAAGTCAGCGTGTTATATGGACTGAAAATGAAGTATATATATATATATATATATATATATATGAAAAACGATTTTGTAGTTATATTTTGTGTTTTTCTCACAGAAAATGGTGATTTTTGCAAAGAAACACTGTTTTTTGGTAAAATTTGCTTCTTTTCATGGATAATGATTGCTCTTGCTAAAAAAAACTGCTTCTTTTGCATGTTTCATAGAAATACATTGCATTTCAGTCCAATTATCATTTTACCGGGAATACTTGTATTTGCTAAAGAGTACTCTTTTTGGGGGGGGGGGTAAAATTGGCTTCTTTCCATGCAAAACGTTAATTTTTGCCAAAAAATTAAAAATAACTAAATAATTCAGTACTGCTTCTTTTCACGGAAAACGCTTGTTCTTGTTTAAAAAAATGCTTTGTTTTGCATGCTTTGATGAAAAATACTCCTTTTTTTGTCAAATTTGATTATTTTCATGGAAAGCGCTTTCTTTTTTCCCAAACGATCGGATGTATTCATAGAAAAACACTGTTTGAAGTCAAATTTGCTCCTGTTCATATAGAAAGCATGTTTCTTTTCGACAAATTTATTTCTTCTCACGGAAGAACCTGATTTTTGTTTTTTTAGCAGAATTTGCTTGTTTTCAGGGAAAACGCTTTGTTTTGCATGTTTTGATTGAAAACACAATATTTTAGTAAAATTTGTTTGTTTTGACAAATAAACAATTTTTTGTCAAATTTTATTATTTTCATAGAAAGTGCCTTTTTCTAAAACAACCGCATTATTAATAGAAAAGAAAAGCATTCTTTCAAGTCAAATTTCCTTTGTTTCACGGAAAAAGCTTATTTTTTTTAAATACTTCTGTTCATGGAAAACATTGCCTTTTTTATAGTAAATTTTGTTTATTTTCAAGGGAAACGCTTTGTCGTCCATGTTTTCAGGGAAAAACACTATATTTTTGGTAAAATTTCCTTTTCAAGATTTTTTTTTGTTGAAACAGTTTTTCTTAGTAAAATTGTGCTTCATTTGACGGAAAACGGTTGTTTAGGCAGAAAAATGCTTGTTTTTTTAAAAGTAAAATTTGCTTCGTTTCACAAAAACTGCTGATTTATGCAAGGGAACACTGTCTGGGTAAAATTTGCTTCGTTTATACGGAAGGCGCTACCTTTTGTTGTAAACAATTTGTTTTACATGTATTGATAGAACAATTCTGTTTTAGTCATATTTGATTATTTTCACGGACAAAAGCTTTGTTTAAGCCAAATTTGCTTCTTTTCATGGAAAATTATTGTTTCCTCTAAAAACATTTATTTTTCGTGTTTTCAGAGAAAAACACTGTATTTTAGTAAAAAAAAAATTATTTTACGGATAACGCTTGTTCCTGCCAAAAATATACTTTTGTTTTAAGTCTAAGTATGCTCCTATCCACGGAAAACGCTTGTTTTGCTAGTACTGTATACACATGTGCTCATAAAAAAACACTGTTCTTCAGTTGAGCTTGTTTCTTTTGAAGGAAAACGATTGTTTTTGTTTAAAAAACTTTGTTTTACTAATTTGTTATGGAAAATTCTTGTTTTGGTGAAAAGACGTATGTTTTTATAGCGAAACACTGATTTAGTAAAATTTTCTTCTTTTTACGGAAAAAAAGTTTGTTTATGATTAAAAAAAACCGCTTTGTTTTGCAGGATTTCATAGAAAAGGCACCGTTTATAGTTCAATTAGATTCTCTTCACGGAAAACGTTTGTTTTTGCTAAAAATGCTGTTTTGTGTGTGTGTGTTTTTTTTTTTTTTTAGAAAAACGCTGTTTATTTTCAGTAAAATTAGTTTTGTGTTTTCAAGAAAAAACGCTTATTTAAAAATATCGATAGTTACTTTGCCGTAAAATAATTTGAATATCTATCCTTTGGGTGTGAGGTGTAAAACATGTAACTTAAATGACTGTTAAAGGTCTATGCCGCAACTAAAGGAATAAGGTCAAAATTTACTTTGTTAACTACTCTATTGATGTTTATGAAATTTTCGTGATGGTGCATCATAGAGCATCAATTACCAACCAATAAGTTCACATACCTTCACTGATCAAAATATAAATAATAAAAGCCCTAAACGTTGGAAAGATCAAATTTTGCACAAGATCCCCAATTGGGGGTGCCAATAACTGACCAGTAAGATCCGTCGGACTGCGCCTCTGTCGACACTCTCCATGAAGAAAAGGGAAGGATAAGCTGCTTATATTTGGCAAGAAATCTTATCGCAAAAATGCCAAGATCAAGTTTGGATATGAAGGTGACTGACTTTCAGTGTTTCTCTGCATGATCTAGAATTCTAGATTCTTCAGAGTGAACAATCAGCTTCCAAGGAAACACGTACGTTCTCGGCTTATAATGATTAGGTACTGTACGAATATATTCAGGACATTTACTAGCCGAGTTTAGCTTATAATTTTGGACGACTCAATATTCTGTTCCAAATACGTATTTTTTGTTTGTAATGTTTCATGTACACAGAATGTACCTTTTCTGACGATTTCAGAGTCAGTTTGATATGTTATAATTTAATTATTATACTGTAATAGAAAATATATGTAACTTTTTTCAGATTTACAAGTTTCTCAGCTAAATGTACATGATACATACCATCATTATAGAAACAAATCGTCATAATTTTCGTGCCAATATAGTAACTTAATTGAATCACTTAAATATAATATTTGTGTATTCATACCGTCATCTTGACCATCATATTAGCCAGGTCTACCATATAATAGCACCCGAACAGCCACACCAACCAATAACGTAGTAATACAACATGTCTTTATCTTTACGAGGTAAGAGGTTCCTTTTCCTACCCGTAATCCAGTAATCCCTTCCCACCTTCCTCACCACTGTTCGCCATCTAATACTATTATTGCTTTAAGACTTTTTCTTTTCCATTTTTCATCATACAACCAAGCAACAGTTCTCTTGCTATACCACTGGTCTCTTCTAACAGTGGCACCCCAGAGCGTGGTTCTGGGGGAGGCGGCGACGGTGCGGGCGGGGATGGAGGAGAGGTTGGAGTGTCGGGCTAAAGGAGCTTATCCCGAGGCCAATATCACTTGGACGCTAGACGGTAAAAAGCTCAACTTCACAGCCAAAGAGGTGAGTCCACTTGAGGGGATTTAACTCGACATATAATCCTTATTTATCGCAGTATTATGGATGCACTAAACACCAAGTGATATTATTGCATTGGTGGTTAAAACTGTTCTCCTAAATCGTGGCAAGGTTATTCTTAACAACTCCTTTCACATTCAATTCGCAGTTCTTACTTAAGGTAAGTCCCTTGAACCGGTTTCCCTAGGACACTAAGGGCAGTCATATATATATATATATATATATATATATATATATATATATATATATATATATATATATATATATATATATATATATATATATATATATATATATATATATATATATGTGTGTGTGTGTGTGTGTCTAATAATAATAATAATAAACGGTTTATTAATAGAGTTGCAGCCGGTGGCTGAAAATATACAGACTTACATTTGATTTGGACATAATGATATAATATGCATTGAATACATTTACAGGGCTGTACAGTACATAAATCAGGAGTTGTTTATTATTTTAACAATAGATGGGATGGTGCTGTTCTTATATCTATCGGTGCGGGCTCTTATGGGCTGAATTTTGTTGTAGTGGCGGACTGCGCGAGTTGGGTGGGGGGCTGCAGGTGGCAGGAGGTGGCGATGACGAGGGTGGTGCAGTAGTCCACTGCCAAACCTTTCTAGTGCTTGGTGGTGGAGGTCACTGAGGGATGGCATTTCCAGGGTGGAGAGAGCGTTGGTGTAGCCGGAGTATTCTGCGCCGAGCATGATTCTGCAGGCCCTTTTCTGTACCTTCTCTAGCTGAAGTTGTTGGGTGGAGTTGAGAGAAGACGACCAGGCTGGTGACGCATACGTTAGCTTGGGGAGAATAAAGGCGTTGTAGATGGTCCTTAGCTCTGGTGTGGGTGTCCCAAGTGACCTAAGTCGTCGTAGCATGTAGAGACGATACGAGGCTGCCTTGACTGTGTTATTTACATGGGCCTTCCAGTTCAGTTTGTTGTCTATGGTTACACCCAGGAGATTAGCAGACTGCACCAGCTGGAGAGGATGGGCACCCACTGTGACTGGCGGTAGTGATGTGCATGACTATGGTTTTGGTGTGGTTGATGGTGACATTGTTCTCCGTGGTCCATGCCTGAAGCCTGTCCAGGGGGCCTTGTAGCGATGAGTAGTCTGGTGCGGTGTTGTCCACTGAAACCCCCACAGTGCAGTCATCCACGTACTTCCACCTGTGAGGAGTGTCCGATAGAGCGTCGTTGATCAGGATGAGGAAGCACAGTGGTCCCATCTTGGTCCCCTGGTGAACACCGCAGGTGAGGTGTTGGAATGTGGAGACCAAGCCCTGATACCTCACTGCCTGGCGACGTCCACTCAAGAAATCAGTGAGCCATGAGACCAGGTTGGTGGGCAGCCCTAGTGCAATAGCCTTGTTGATAACAGTGCAGTGATCAACAAGGTCAAAGGCCTTCCTGAAGTCCATAAGGGGAACGGCCAGTGATGTCTTACGTTTCTGCAAGTTTTTGTGCAGAAAATCCAGAAAGCTCACCAAGCAGTGTGATGTAGAGGATGTCCTCATGTTGCCAAATTGCTGTGGATCAATTTGACTGATAGATACTGGCAAATGCCCACTCAAAAACAAAGTCCTCACAAAGTAGACTGGGTATGGGGGTAATGGCAACTGGCCTGAAGTCGTTAGGGGACTGTGGGGTGGTGACCTTGGGGATGGGGGTGACAAATGAGGTTTTCAATTCATTAGGGCATTTGCTTTGTCTGAGGGATGCATTAATAATAGAACAGAGGGGGTGGCAAGTTCGACTGCAAACTCCTTGTTTATTTTGATTGGGAGGTCAATTGAGGTCGTGGAGCGTTTGGATTTAAATTTCAGGAGTTTGTGTGTGTGTGTGTGTGTGTGTGTGTGCGTGTAAGAAAAACTATGGGCAAGTTTCTTTACGCCATTTGCCTCTGTCTACCCAGCAGTAATTGGGAACCTGGATGTTAATCGATTTGCGGATCGTATTTCGGGGTAATGGTTAGCCAGTGCAGTTGGCGAGTTGTCCGGTCTTCTCGGACTATTCCTTGATATTGGGTCATGCAACTCGTTAACTTAGGGTGTGGTTGTTGAGTTGGCGACAGCTTCTACACCTTAAACAAATTAAAGCTTAGGTGGCCCTTGGGCCGGCCATCCTCGTTACACGAGGGGCAACCATTATTATATTACTATGTGTGTGTGTGTGTGTGTGTTACTTAACATCCTTCTTTCTATGCGCCATGTATGGAGTGGCCCATAAGCACAATTCCCGTTGGCTATTCCAAAATAAACCTTAGTTTACCTCGCTTATTGTTTGTTTATTACTTGGTCAAACACGACCACGTATGGGGCGAACCATTCTACAAGTGTGGATTACACTAATGTGTGTGTAATATTCCCTTTCAAGAAGTCCCTTTGATGAAAGTAAAGGTAAACATAACATTTCTGTCAACTCACGTAGCTTCAATATCATAATATAATATTGACCAAACAGGAAAAAAAAATGGATCTGGTAAATAGCCGCACACTAACCTAACCTAATCTAACCTAACTTAACCTTCCTTGACACGCCTCACTAACATTGGTCACTACTTAATCTACACCATATAAAATTTTCCCGTTTAATTTCTACATGATTTCGCGTTTCATTTACAAGATTGACCACTTGTGTTATCACCTTTATAAAACTTAATTCCTTGCTATATAAACCAGGACTTGTCTTATTTTCTTTCTAGTGTTAATTCACGCCACTTCCTTATCTCTTAAACAATATCTAATTTATTCCTCCCTTATCAAACATTGTAGTCCAGATTAATCGGGAAAAGGATTCAGATGATCCGAAATACAGAAGAAGAGCATAGGAAAAAAATAGTACACATTTAAAAAAATCAAGTTATTCTAGACAAAAGAGTACTAACGTAATTGCCCATTATATAAGACTCTTTTCCCCCCAAAATTTATCTCCTAAAATCACCTTACGTCTTTTATACCGAAGGTTAACCATAGCGGCATATAATAACCAATATTGGACTAAAATCATAACTTCCCGATTTGATACAATGGTTCGCAAGAGGAAGAAGAAGGGGTAAGGAATAGAATAAGAAGGCATAAGAAGAAGAGTAAGAAGAAGAGTAAGAAGGAGTAAGAGTAAGAAGAAAGATTAAGAGAGAGAGAAGTTAAGAAGAAGAATAAAGAGTAAGAATATGAATAAGAGTAAGAAGAAAGAGTAAGGTAATAATAAAGAGTAAGAGTACAAACAAAATAAGAGTAAGAAATAAGAATTTGAGTTTGAAGTAAGAAACATTAAGAATAAAAAGAAGGAAAATAGTAAGAAAAAAAGAGAAAAGGAAAGACTAAGAGTATGAAACAGAAGGACTATTCTTTGACACTTAATATGGGTTAAAAATTTGAAACAAAATGAAAAAGGTTTGTGGACGCTTGCTCAGATAAACAACAAATGACTTCATCCTAGTGCAGATTAGCCGAAGTTTGAACCACCAGGATGTGGATGACCGAGGTTTGCTGCGTTTACCCTTGGGTCAAATATCTGCTCAACCTTGAAACTTGGGTAATTTCTTCCTCATTTTCTAAACTTAATTAATTTTCTTCTTTATCCCTCAAATTTGTTAAATTTCGTCCCTATTTCTTCAACAAGTTCACTTCTGTGTGTGTGTGAATTTAGGCTGGAATTATTTCCTACATTTGTAGTCTGGCTAATTTCAACCGTTGTAAAATATGCATTCTTTCCGAAACTAAAGTTAACTTTCATATCTATTATAAATATATGTTCGGTCGCCTGCACTTTTACCTAGTACAGGGGCTAGTGCGTTTTGTGAGATGTTTCACCTCTCTGGAATGCTTATATTGTATGGCTACTATTGCGAAGTTCTTTAGGCCATTCCGGGAATTTTAATATGATGTAAACAAACAAAGAATTGTCACATCTCACAAAACACGCCAGTCAATGTACTAAGTACAGACGACTGTATATCTATATATTAGCGTTACGATTTCATATAATTTATTCTTCATCTCAGCACTATGATTTTCATATTCCAGTGTTCACGAAATTTTACTTTTCACATTCACTATTGCATACCTATCGACTTTTCTTCTCCAGTTTGTAATATGCGCATCTTTCTTTATTTTATTCGGAAATTTGGGCCACTTTATTATTCATCGTTAATGTTAGGGACAGTGTATTTCACCTACATGAAAAGTTGTAATATTTGATACGTGTATGACATTGTTTACTTGATATCCTCTTTTACACATTAAATTCTCTCTATATATTAACCAAGAATAACGTACTAGACCCCGTGTAAGAATGTCATCCCTTAAAATCTTCTTTTCCTTTAACCTTGGGTTCCTTTTCTTGTTTGAATGTTGTAAATATTGGTCATTCATCTTCAACATGTCAACGTTAAACAATTGCGTCTTCCCCGTTGTAAATCCAGAGCTTTTAGCTTCTGTAAACATGGTCGGGCGCATTACCTTTTGTGCAAGACTTTTTACATTCTGCGTTGTCAACTTGAATCGCTTATATTCCCTTTTGCTATATAACTCTCCAATTCATCCTTGGTTTCTTGTAAGGCAGGGAATAAGTTTTTCTCCATAAATTAATCTGGGACACTTTTCTTTCCTCCACAAATTATCCCATTTCACGCTTAAGCTAAGCCGGGTCATTATTTTTTCCTCCTATGTTTTCTTATATTTTATTTACCTTCTCAATGATTTAGTTAATAATGTGTTTCCTTCTTCCCTTCTGTATTTTTTGATACGTATCTTGATCCACTAGTGTTTTACACCTCATTATAAAGATGATTTGCTAAATTCATTATAAATCGAGGTGGCCGACCCAAGGGCCTCATAGGCGTGAATTTGTTAAGGTGTAGAAGTTTTCGCCAACACAACAACCACACCCTAAGTTAACGAGCTGCATGACCCAATGTGACGGAATTGTCCGAGAAGACTGGACAGCTCGCCAACTGCACTGGCGAGCCATGCCCCCTGAATACGATCCGCAAATCGATTAACATCCAGGTTCCCAATTACTGCTGGGTAGACAGAAGCAAATGGCGTAAAGAAACTTGCCCATAGTTTCACCCTCCCCAGGATCGAACTCGGGTGCGCTCGCTTGCCAGACGAGGATGCTGACCATCACACCACACATCGCTAATAACCACACATGAAAAAAAAATACACGAAGTTCCCAAGCGCTATCGTGTAATTCACATCTTCGGGGGTGCGTACAAACTGTACTCACCCCTGAAGATGTGAATTACGCGAAAGCGCTTGGGAACTTCGTGTTTTCTTGTTTCCTTGCGGTTATAAGCATATACCTGGATCACGCGCACCCACAGTGATTTACTTGCATATATATATATATATATATATATATATATATATATATATATATATATATATATATATATATATATATATATATATATATATATATATATATATATATATATATATATATAGATATTGGTTAAGTATTACCCATTTTTCTTTTTGCCATGCATCAGACTCGGCAGATCGGAAGCGACACGGTCTCATGGGTGCAATTCGTCGCCTCGCCTCGGGAGCACGGAGCGGTATTGACGTGCACTGCGTCGTCCTCCACCCTGCCAGACCCTCCTGTCTCCACCAACGCCACGCTCAACGTCACACGTAAGTAGCTAGCGACGTGAAAAAAATAATTATATCACTAGTAGCGAAGTAGCAGATGTACAGAGGACAATTCGGTCTTAAAATTATTATCATTTAATAAACAGGGTGAATCTCAAATACGTGGATTAGCAAAGTTTGCTAGCTGTAGCATTTGAAAGAGGTTGAGGTAATGGAAGTGAGGTTGGAGGGAAACAGCCGTAGATTGTCGGGTCATTTTATACATGTAACTCTACCCAATGTGATACAGTGGTAGAGGGAGGGAAATTTGAACATTTACTGTCACAATGCAACTTTATTACCCATATAACCAGTGGATCTAACAGAATCAGACAGGGACTCAGGTAGCACGTCCAGCGTTGGGCACGTCGGCGGCCAAATAATGATATTAGAGACGAAGACAAACATTCACTTAAAGCTAGGAAGCGGAGATTGCTTCAGCGAGATGAACTCATAATGAAACATTATGAACTATTCGTAATTTTCTCAACGACTTTTAAATACGAGGCCAAGCAGGAGAGTATTTTTCTGAGTGTTTGTGTGTGCTTCTGGAGAGGGACGGGGTGAAAGGTATTGGAGGATTCAGCAGAGAGATAACTATTTTTTTTTTAGTTAATATCTTTGAGTTCTTGTGGCTATTACAAGGAGATCGGTATATATTTTTTTATAGCATTTTGATGTTTTGGGGAGATAACATCAGTTGATACACTTCAATATTATATAATTGTAGGAAGGTAATATATATATATATATATATATATATATATATATATATATATATATATATATATATATATATATATATATATATATATATATATATATATATATATATATATATATATATATATATATATATATATATATATATATATATATATGTAACCGGTCGGAATTTGCTGGACTTTAATTTCTCACTTGACTTGGGGTTTATTAAAATTTAATAGATGGTAAAGGCAGTGGAAGCGCCCCTTTGAGAAAAATCCCGAACCAGCACAAGAACACTTAAATCTACTACACAAAATGAACTGTCCGTGACCCGTGGAAGGATAGCGTCTGTGACTGGGATGAATGAGACACACTGTAAAATTTAGACACTTATATTCCCTCCAACACTACAAACACAATCAAATAATGGTACACCAATATGCGCACCTCTTAACTTAAACTTTAAACACTACTCTGGGGAATAAAAGTTATACATGACATAGAAATTATTAGAAACACAGGCAACAATAAATTTGAAGTATCAAGAAATGTTGCTCGCCCACATGAACAGGCCTTAAGGCTTTCACAAAATAATATCAGTCACTTAGGAAATGGTACTAAAAAATAAGAAATTAAATACTCCACAATGAACAGGCCTTAAGGGTTTTCAACAAAATAATATCAGTCACTGAGGAATGGTAATAAAATATAAGAAATTAAATACTCTACAATGAATAGGCCTTAAGGGCTTTCAACAAAATAATATCAGTCACTGAGGAAATGGTAATAAAATTTAAGAAATTAAATACTCTACAATGAATAGGCCTTAAGGGCACTCAACAAAATTATAGCACCCCAACAGATGTACACTTCCTAACCTAACTTAACCACTACTCTGGGGAACAAGGTTATACCTGAGATCAGAATTATGAAGAACAATTAGAGGCATTAAAAGAATCAAATCACAGTATCACTCTGGTTCCACTTAATGGCACAAACATTCAAAACAATATTATCAAAATTATTTAGAAACTATTAAACTACACACGTCAAGATAATATCAGTCTGAGGAATGGTGTTAACTACACCCGTAATAAGGGAGGGAAAATGTTCCTCTAGGTATCTCCTAGAGACCTAGACTCACGGTCTCAGTGTGTGACCATTAGTTTACTCAGATAGCCTCAGTGTACTCCCAGTGCGTCCATAAAGCGGAAGGGAGTGAGCCAATCAGACCTTGTACAGTTGAGAGAAACTTTAGCTTCCCGTTAGCAAGAGGGTTTCACTAGCTGCTCGGGACATGTGGGGTTGTGCACCGGAGTGGTAAGAACTGATCACCCACTGCTGATGCTGGTCCCGTGTCGTTTTAGTTGTCGGGAGCACTCGTTCACTCAAGAGATCCTTTGCTACCCTGCTAAACAGTGACAGGCCTACACTGATCGGTCCAATGGCGACAATCGCCACCCTCAATCATCAACGGCAGTCAATCTCTCGCAGTCAACTCGGTCAACTCCAGTCAACTCCAGTCAACTCCAATCAAGTGGGTTCTGACGGAAACCCTGAAATGAACTCACTGTTAGCTCTAGTTTACTTTATCACTGCCCTATCTAACCCTGTCTGAGATCGAATGAGACTTACTTGTTATACTGCAATAGCGCAGCACAGTGACTAGGCCACGTGACTATTTCTGATGGACGCGCGGAACGTCTTGTCTGTGTGAATGCTCTCCGGGACTGGGCCTAGCCAGCATCGCGTCTCCCCAAGGCGCTAGCTTGGGCCTACGTGATATATTTTCCGCCTAACTAATAACTCCTTGGGACACCCGTAACATTATTCAGACTGCTAAACGATCTATAATAATTTCAAATTCAATAATAGTCCCTTAACTTCATGAATCGCATCATTATTAATTCGGTAAATCACATTTAATATCATATAGGCCTAGTTCCGCAATCTCTCGCTACGAGCAGGCAGCGCTCCCTCCCCTCAGATGATCTTGAACGCTCAGTATCACTCATGGCGGGGCATTTGAAATTACTCTGAAATTTCTGAATATTACATATATATATATATATATATATATATATATATATATATATATATATATATATATATATATATATATATATATATATATATATATATATATATATATATAGTGTATACACAGGGTGTTTCAGCAAAGAGGACATTAAATTGGAGGATGAAATCCCTGGATAATTGTAAACCACAACGTCTCTTTGGTAAAATGTTAGATTTTGCATAGTTTCCATGTTACAATACCTTTAAGATGTTGTATCAATGAGAATGAATTTGAAGTGAAACACCCTCCCCCCCTGTAACTGTCTTTATCTCATTCGGTCGTACACGATCCCTGTCTTATTGTACATTTGTCAGCCATCTGTATCACACTGAACTGCTGTACATAAAACATCTGTAAATAAATGATTAAAAAAACCTACAGGGGTTTCACATCAAATTCACTCTCATTAATACAATATATATATATATATATATATATATATATATATATATATATATATATATATATATATATATATATATATATATATATATATATATATGTGTGTGTGTGTGTGTGTGTGTGTGTGTGCGTGTGTGTGTGGACTACACAGGGTGGTGAAATGCGTCTAGTGTGGCAGCATTATCTTAGTGTTAAGGTGCAAGCACTGCTTGCTCCCTCTCGCTTTCAGCTGCCACGGCTGGCTAGCCCTCATGGCTAATAGGGAAACAACTTGCATAAGTCTTCCCCTGCCAGTACACAGCTTCCTCACCATCAAGACTCCTGTTGTGCCTCCTCGTGGCAACACACGGTAACTGGGTGCCTCGTGGGCCCTGGCTAGATCAGCAGGGGATCTCGGAGCAGCAGTAGGTCCCAGATGTATGGCGCCCAGGCTCACTGGCATGTGGACACATCCTGGCGCCTACCAACCACCGCCCCGCTGCCTTGCGGATTAACCTTGACATGTACAAGGCTACGGGAGTAAACCCCTCACGAAAAATTTGCTGTGAAGCCCAGCATCAGGCAGACATGCTTACAGAGCTCCAACAAACCCCAATGGCTGTGTAGGCGGAAGAGGTGACCACCATGGAAGCGAAACCCTAAAAACTGTTCTACCGGCAATCCATTGCAACTCTCCCTCTCCCCATTCGTTGCAACACTTGCACCACTGGATCAGTAAAAGGGAGAAGGGAGAGCCAAGATGTGTGGTTGCAGTCTGCGTGATTGCCGCACCACATAAATCAACTCACGTGCAACCATCACCCAGCTCATCATATCACTCATCATCATCAAACCCCTTATACCCCCCAAAAGTCCTATGGCGACGGACGAGTGGCGACAGGGATAGGCAGAGATGACTGCCGGGAGTCTCTAGTCACAACTCTGCACATGGGCGGCACAGATAAGATGGTCGGATATGCACTATGATCTAGGTAGCAGTGCAATCCGGTCCTGTCTGTGCGACTAAGCAGCCCTTATGAGGAGCCACTCTGCTCACCCCACATGGAGAGGGGGCTAGAAAAGATGTCCTAAACATAGCCTACCTAAAAACCCAACCTGACTGGGCAACAGCGCCTAGTAAGGTCGTCCTTATGCGGTCGAAAACACAATCAGAATCACAGATCTAAGGAAAAACAAACCATACAACCTCTTATGGTCGCTGCATGGAATGTCAGGATCCATCTGGATACTGGCACAAATGTGCATTCTGAAAGAACTGCAATTGTAGCAAAAGAGCAGGCTAGGTATAACATCGACATAGCCATCAGTGAGTCCCGGCTCCCAGATGAGGGCCAACTCCCAGAACGGGGTCTGGCTACACCTTCTGGAAGGGTAAGGCTGCTGCAGAGAGAAACAGCATTTATGAAGTTGGCTTTGTCATCCGCCAACGCATCCTACACAAGCTAACTGAAATGCCTATTGGGATCAACGAGCGCCTCATGACGCTTCGAGTCCCACTAAATCACTTATGTCATGCCTTCTTCATCAGTGCATATGCCCCAACACTGGATGGAGAGGTTGATATCAACGAGGCCTTTTACGCTGACCTCGAAAGAGTGCTAACCTCTATCCCCAGAGAAGACATGGTTGTGCTCCTTAGCGACTTCAATGTCAGAGTTGGCAGAGATGCTATTATTTGGCAGGGAACCATAGGAAGAAATGGACTAGGCAAGTGTAATCCCAATGGCCTACTGCTTCTCAACAAGTGTGCTGGTCACAACTCCAATATCACCAATACCTTGTTTAGGCAGGCTGACAAGTTCAAGGGATCGTGGCAACACCCACGAATCAAACTCTGGCATCTTATTGACTACATCATTATCAGAGAAAGAGATCGCCGAGATGTCCTTATCACCCGTGCTATGCGTGGCTCAGACCGCTGTGGCACTGATCATCGACTTATCAGATCCAAGCTCTCACTTCACGTTGCTCCAAAACGGCGAAGGCAGCATGCCTCCAGAAGAGGTTTTAATACTAAGCGTCTGGAGGATCCAGCGGTAGAGAGCAGCTCGAACATGGGCTTATAGACAACCCAACAACAAACAACGTGAATCCCTTTGCCGAATGGGATACTCTTAATATTGTTATGAGAAAGCCCTGCAGAGAGACCCTCGGTCAGTTCAAAAGAATACACCATGACTGGTGTGATGAAAATGACGCGGTAATAAATGTACACATCGATGATAAACTTGCTGCTTTTACTGACTGGCAGAACAACCCTCAGTCTCGGACCAAAGCCGATACCATTCGCAAGAAGAAAGTGGCAGCCAGCGGGAGCTTTGCAATCTAAAGAACGACTGGTTTAAATATAAAGCATGTGAAGCACAAAATCTTGCAAATGAGCACAAGATTCGCGAATTTGTCATTTCAACTAAAACATTTTATGGGCCAGTCACTCGGGGCACAGCCCCCTTTCGTTCATCTGACGGTAACTACATAATTAAAGACGATGAAGGCCTCCTTCAACGCTGGAAAGAGCACTACCATTCATTGCTCAACCGAAACACCGATGCAGATGTCATTTCTACCCAGCAGGTCCCTCAGCATCCATACCTGACCCACCTCAGCTATCCTACATCTCTGGATTTGGTAGCTACTGCCATCAAACAGATGAAAAATAACAAAGCCTCAGGGCCTGATGGAATCGCAACCGAGGTGTAAAGCAGGAGGACCTCTACTTGCCAGCTGTATCCACTCTCTTCTGGGGTATATATGAGAAAAGGAGGAAATCCTCCAAGCTCTTAAAGATGCCTCCATTGTCAATATTTATAAGAACAAATGAGACTGGTCAGATTGTGGCAACTACCGTGGGATCTCGTTGCTCTCCGTAGCTGGCAAGTTTATAGACCGAGTCCTCCTAAACAGATTTCTTCCTGAGGCGGAAAACTTCCTCCCAGAATCTCAATGTGGTCCTAGACCACCACGTGGTACCACTGACATGATCTTTGCTGCCCGCCAGATACAGGAAAAGTGCAGTGAACAGAGTCGTGAACTGTACATGGCTTTCATCGACCTAACCAAGGCCTTTGACTAAGGTCAATAGGGCAGCCCTCTGGTGGACCCTCAGCCGGTTTAGGTGCACCAAAATTCATCGCCATTGTGAGGCAGCTCCATGATGGCATGAACAGCAGTGTCCTGCACAATGGCACCCAGTCAGAGTTCTTCCCCATCGAAACAGGGGTTAAAGAAAGGAGTGTACTGGCACCAACTCTCTTTTCCATCTTCTTGGCTGCCTTCCTTACTCGTGCCAGTGCCAATTTAGCCAGCGGGGTGAACATGGAGTACCGGGTAAAGGGGGGTCTTTTCAACATAAAACGACTCCGGGCAAGAACAAAGGTGTCGGCAGCTTCCATTACTAACCTTCATTATGCACACGACCTCACCCTTGTTGCTCACACTGAACAGAAGATCCTGAACACCTATGCAGACGCGTATGCACACTTAGGTCTTTAGGTGAATGTTCGTAAGACTCAGATTCTTTTTCAACCTGCTCCTGGTTCAAACACACCTCCACCATCCATCCAACTTAACGGTACTGCACTCTCTAATGTTGCCCACTTTCGGTATCTCGGCTCCCACCTGTCCACCACCGGAGACATCGATGAAGAAATTCAGCATCGGATCAGATGTGCATCTCACGCCTTGTGCAGACTCCGAAATCGTGTCTTCAGCTGTAGGGACCTGAAATTATTCACAAAGTTGCACGTATATCGAACAGTGGTCCTGCCCACCCTACTATATGGCATTGAGACATGGGTGACATACAGGAAGCACCTCAAGGTCCTTGAAAACTTTCACCAACATAGTCTACGTTCCATCCTCCCAGTTCGCTGGGAAGACAAGAGAGCAAATGCCATCATTCTTGCTAATACCAATTGTAGGAGCATCAAGGCTACCATTATCCATGAAGAACTACGTTGGACTGGCCATGTTACCCGCATGAACAACAGTAGACTTCCAAAGCAGCTACTTTACAGTCACCTAACGAAGAGTAAACGTGACGCTGGCAGGCAATTGAAAAGGTATAAGGTTAGTCTTAAGACAAACCTGAAAAGGTGCCAAATCGACGCCCTCACCTGGAGTCGATTACTCCACATCGTAACGCTTAGAGGAGCACCACACGGGAAGGTGTCAATACTTTCGAGTTAGCCCGACTGCAAACCGAGTCAGACAAGCGCCAACGCCGGAAAGACGCTCTCACTGCCCCTCCCTCAGTAGATGGAGCCCTCCACATGTGCAACGAATGTGGTCATCGCTGCCGGTCCTGTATCGGGATCTTTAGTCACCTCATAACTCACTAACCTAGGTGACATCCTTAATAACCCATATTATTTTACCATAGCTGGATGATCGTCATACTCGATTCTGAATGACAGCAAAGTAGTAGTGATGTGTGTCTATTTCGGTATTTAGGATCTTCAACTACAATTTTAAGGATTTAGAGGTGAAAATTGGCTTGACTATGTGCATGCGCACCAGAAGCGTCTCGATGGCTGGATTTTGGGCTCACCCAGTAGCTGACCTTTAAAAAAAAAGAAAAAAAAAGACGCAGATCGTCGTTTTCCCCAGCTAGTAGTCAAGCCATAGAAAGGCAAGGTAGAGAGGCTTGTACGATTAAATGGCTTATGTCAATGTGTATTATTTAGCATTCCTAAATATATAAAATGACTCTGCCTTGGTTAATAACACTGATGCCGATCTCATATACATGCTCCTACTTGTACCTACATGTAAATTATCACTATTCTAACAGCAAAGCCTTCTTGTCCCTGGCCATTGGCAAGGCCTCTACGAGTTCTGCGATAAGGTTACGACCGTTCTCCCGCGTTTACCGTCTTCAATACCAACATTTTAAGAGCGGAATTGACAATCGCATTACCTTTCGACAAGTGACTGCTCTTGAGCTTTCACCAGCAGAAAAGCTTAATATTCGAAATACAATCGGAAAACGCCGAGCCCTTTTAGTGTAATACTAATATATTTCAGGTAGACATTATAATTTTATGTGTAACAATTGTGTACTGATTTTTTCTAATATCGGCATTTTTTTTATTCTTTTAAGAGACATAGACAGGTACAGGCGGGTTTTTTATTACCTTTGTAATTAGTGATAAAAAAATTCTGGTTTTGTACGCCAGGAGAATTAATATAAGGAATTATTTACGTTGTGCATGTGGTTAGCTTATATACAGTAAGGTTACGTAGTGAGTGATCTGTTCTAGGTTATGTTAACTTAGTACAGAACCTATTCGGTGTAAAATTCACCAGAAGTAATGGAAGGACTATATATAAAATGACTGCGACACTTTTTTTTTGTACCTACAAACATATACACGAAGTAGAATAACACACACACACACACACACACACACACCTCTGTCCTACACAACAGCACCGACGCTGACTCTTTCCTTTTCATCCCCCAGACGCGCCTCTGGTACGGCTCGAGCTGGGGGCGTCACTACGACCAGACCACATCCGCCAGGGAGACGACGTCTACTTCGACTGTCTTATCGTTGCCAACCCTCCAGTGCAGCGCATTGCCTGGTACAAGGAGGTGAGTGACGTGTCCGTCGTAGTTGTGATAGGAGTACCATACTGGTTTAGTTGTGATAGGAGTACCATACTGGTTTAGTTGTGACTGAAGTACGATACTGTTTTAGTTGTGATAGGAGTACCACACTGGTTTAGTTGTGACTGAAGTACTATACTGTTTTAGTTGTGATACGAGTACCATACTGGTTTATTTGTAGCTGAAGTACTATACTGCTTTAGTTGTGATAGCAGTATCATACTGGTTTGGTTGTGTTAGGAGTGCCATACTGGTTTAGTTGTGACTGAAGTACTATTCTGTTTTAGTTGTGATACGAGTACCATACAGGTTTATTTGTAGCTGAAGTACTATACTGCTTTAGTTGTGATAGCAGTATCATACTGGTTTGGTTGTGTTAGGAGTGCCATACTGGTTTAGTTGTGATAGGAGTACCATACTGGTTTAGTTGTGACTGAAGTACTATACTGTTTTAGTTGTGATAGGAGTACAATACTGGTTTAGTTGTGATAGGAGTACCATACTGGTTTAGTTGTGACTGAAGGCCGATATACTGTTTTAGTTGTGATAGGAGTACCACACTGGCTTCTTAGTTGTGATAGGAGTACCATACTGGTTTAGTTGTGACTGAAGTACTATACTGTTTTAGTTGTATAGAGTACCATACTGGTTTGTTGTGATAGAGTACCATACTGGTTTAGTTGTGACTGAAGCATACTGTTTTAGTTGTGATAGAGTACCACACTGGTTTAGTTGTGATAGAGTACCATACTGGTTTAGTTGTGACTGAAGTAATTTATACTGTTTTAGTTGTGATAGGAGTACCATACTGGCTTAGTTGTGATAGGAGTACCATACTGGTTTAGTTGTGACTGAAGTACTATACTGTTTTAGTTGTGATAGGAGTACCACACTGGTTTAGTTGTGACTGAAGTACTATACTGTTTTAGTTGTGATACGAGTACCATACTGGTTTATTTGTAGCTGAAGTACTATACTGCTTTAGTTGTGATAGCAGTATCATACTGGTTTGGTTGTGTTAGGAGTGCCATACTGGTTTAGTTGTGACTGAAGTACTATACTGTTTTAGTTGTGATAGGAGTACCATACTGGTTTAGTTGTGATAGGAGTACCATACTGGTTTAGTTGTGACTGAAGTACTATACTGTTTTAGTTGTGATAGGAGTACCACACTGGTTTAGTTGTGATAGGAGTACCATACTGGTTTAGTTGTGACTGAAGTACTATACTGTTTTAGTTGTGATAGGAGTACCATACTGGTTTAGTTGTGATAGGAGTACCATACTGGTTTAGTTGTGACTGAAGTACTATACTGTTTTAGTTGTGATAGGAGTACCACACTGGTTTAGTTGTGACTGAAGTACTATACTGTTTTAGTTGTGATACGAGTACCATACTGGTTTATTTGTAGCTGAAGTACTATACTGCTTTAGTTGTGATAGCAGTATCATACTGGTTTGGTTGTGTTAGGAGTGCCATACTGGTTTAGTTGTGACTGAAGTACTATTCTGTTTTAGTTGTGATACGAGTACCATACAGGTTTATTTGTAGCTGAAGTACTATACTGCTTTAGTTGTGATAGCAGTATCATACTGGTTTGGTTGTGTTAGGAGTGCCATACTGGTTTAGTTGTGATAGGAGTACCATACTGGTTTAGTTGTGACTGAAGTACTATACTGTTTTAGTTGTGATAGGAGTACAATACTGGTTTAGTTGTGATAGGAGTACCATCCTGGTTTAGTTGTGACTGAAGTACTATACTGTTTTAGTTGTGATAGGAGTACCACACTGGTTTAGTTGTGATAGGAGTACCATACTGGTTTAGTTGTGACTGAAGTACTATACTGTTTTAGTTGTGATAGGAGTACCATACTGGTTTAGTTGTGATAGGAGTACCATACTGGTTTAGTTGTGATTGAAGTACTATACTGTTTTAGTTGTGATAGGAGTACCATACTGGTTTAGTTGTGATAGGAGTACCATACTGGTTTAGTTGTGACTGAAGTACTATACTGTTTTAGTTGTGATAGGAGTACCATACTGGTTTAGTTGTGATAGGAGTACCATACTGGTTTAGTTGTGACTGAAGTACTATACTGTTTTAGTTGTGATAGAGCTCAATAATTGGTTTAGTTGTGATAGGAGCAATTATACTGGTTTAGTTGTGACTGAAGTACTATACTGTTTAGTTGTGATAGGAGTACCTATACTGGTTTAGTTGTGATAGGAGTAATTATACTGGTTTAGTTGTGACCGAAGTACTATACTGTTTTAGTTGTGATAGGAGTACCACACTGGTTTAGTTGTGACTGAAGTACTATACTGTTTTAGTTGTGATACGAGTACCATACTGGTTTATTTGTAGCTGAAGTACTATACTGCTTTAGTTGTGATAGCAGTATCATACTGGTTTGGTTGTGTTAGGAGTGCCATACTGGTTTAGTTGTGACTGAAGTACTATTCTGTTTTAGTTGTGATAGGAGTACCATACTGGTTTAGTTGTGATAGGAGTACCATACTGGCTTAGTTGTGACCGAAGTACTATACTGTTTTAGCTGTGATAGGAGTACCCACACTGGCTTTAGTTGTGATAGAGTACCATACTGGTTTAGTTGTGACTGATACCATACTGTTTTAGTTGTGATAGAGTACCATACTGGTTTAGTTTTGTGATAGGAGTACCATACTGGTTGCCAGGACTGAAGTACTATACTGTTTTAGTTTTGTGATAGGAGTACCACACTGGTTTAGTTGTGACTGAAGCACTATACTGTTTTAGTTGTGATACGAGCAATCATACTGGTTTATTTGTGCTGAAGTACTATACTGCTTTTAGTTGTGATAGCAGTATCATACTGGTTTGGTTGTGTTAGAGTGCCATACTGGTTTAGTTGTGACTGAAGTACTATACTGTTTTAGTTGTGATAGGAGTACCATACTGGTTTAGTTGTGATAGGAGTACCATACTGGTTTAGTTGTGACTGAAGTACTATACTGTTTTAGTTGTGATAGGAGTACCACACTGGTTTAGTTGTGATAGGAGTACCATACTGGTTTAGTTGTGACTGAAGTACTATACTGTTTTAGTTGTGATACGAGTACCATAATGGTTTATTTGTAGCTGAAGTACTATACTGCTTTAGTTGTGATAGCAGTATCATACTGGTTTAGTTGTGTTAGGAGTGCCATACTGGTTTAGTTGTGATAGAGGTACCATACTGGAACCATATTGATATTGAAACAGAGTCGAAAATAATAACAATATTGCCATCGCTGAACCAATTGAGAGCCTGAGCTCTCTCAAGGAAGTATTATGTAACATTTAGCATCATCTGGAATAATACGCGTAACATGGGGTTATGTATTTATTTTATTTTTTTAGATTTATATTATAAGTATATACATATTTTACAGTGGAGTTCATATACATTAACATGATATAGGAGGGAAGCAATACAATATGGGTGGAAATAAGGTGAAACAAGAGGACTGAAACTGTCAGTATCATGACGGCAATATTACTCTTATAATTATTGCAATGGTAATTTCTATCTACATAACAATATATGATATAATGGATTTGGTGGTGCAAAAAAAGTAGGAAAATAAAGTAGGTATTATAGAAATATTAATACTGAGACAATAGATATTTTTAAAAGAAGATTTATAGGAGTACCACACTGGTTATTTGTGATAGAAGTACCATACTGGCTTAGTTGTGATATGAGTACCATACTGGTTTAGTTGTGATGGGAGTACCATACTGGTTTAGTTGTGACAAGAGTACCATATTGGTTTAGTTGTGATAGGAGTACCATATTGGTTTAGTTGTGATAGGAGTACCATACTGGTTTAATTGTGATAGGAGTACTATACTGGCTAAACTGTACCAAAATAATAATACTGACAGACAAAGATAAATACTAACTACTCTGCAATTGGCACTCACAAGAGAAACTTCCGTGGTTATTTTTTTTTTCTTTTTTCTTTTTGGTGATTCGCTGAAAGCTAGGAATGTTTGGCTGAATTCCTTTTTTTTTATGAGTGAATTTGTTGTTCAGAGGTTTAACTAGCAAGTTATGCTACTAGGATATGCTTGACTTCCTGGGAGTATAAAAGTCAACTATATAAGCACTTAACTGTCTTGATTCACTTGACGCTAACTCTGGCATCATGTTCGAGGAGGAGTCATTGTGGCCCGTGTCTACTGTCATGCTTCCTGGCTTTATCTCCTCCCAATGGTGATCGTCCCGGTAACCATGGGAGCCTCTCACTGGTGTCTGATTCACGGTCATGGGCGGATTTCCTTATGAGTTTCTATTCGAGCAACGCCTGGATCATATAAATGACGACTCTGTGTAAGTCCTTTGAACCACTGCTCCCATAATGAAGCTACAGAATTACAGTATATCTTAAGGTCCATTGATGTACGAGATGAAAAGCAGCACTAATGAGCGTGTGCGAGTGATCCGACTCTTGTTGATCTTCTCTGGTAGGGCATCTGTATCACCTCTGTCAATACTTTTGCCATTTCTTCCCAATTCTCGTGAACAAGAAAGCGGAAAAATACTAAATGCCGTGCTGACTTTGCCAATGTTAATTATATATTTAATTTCGGTAAAAAAGTGAATTACTGTACTGAATTATACACTCAAGCACCTTCGCAGAATTATCGTAAAGGGATTTTGAGAGTACTGCTTGAAACTTAATGCTCCTATACTATGAGATGGTACTGGAGAAACTTGTTGGTCATATCGAAAGGTTAAGTGTGTTAGTGGTATCTTGGAGTCGACGAGTTATCTTGTGTCAGATAATGATTGCTGGGAAAATTTTAGTGTTGGAATATTTATCAAAAACAATGACCGAAAAGCTCGTTCTATGGAGACTGCATTCGACACCATTTAACCACTTAAGCCGGGTTATTATAATCTTTTGTATACCGACATTTCTGAATATATTATAAAGACCAAATAAAAAGTATAAGGAGTTAACAGAAAAATTATAGACACATAGATCCACATCTGAACATCTTTAGTTTCTGCTGTCTGTTCAAAAAAAGAAGATGGTTATTTTTAAAGTGGAAAAAAATTATAAACATGCTGGTTGTTATTACTGTACTGTATATTTGTTGCCCTTACGGATTTATTCCGAAGTTTACACCAAAGTTTGTGATATATAACTTACACTTGATAATTACATTCACATTCATTTATCCTCTTATTTTACGAACACCGATTGCACCATCCATAACGCCTTTACTAATTCTGCTCTATTTGGATATTTTTTTTCGTAACCAATTGTATATTTTTTTTGCTGAATATTTTGATATTTCTGTTTTTGGAATATAATACGGAAGTCAAGTAATATATATCTGTAATCTTGACAAAAAAATAAAATATAATATTTTGTATTTATTTCATAAACATATTGAAATTTGTGTTGATATATGGGAAAAGAAGACCAAGAAAATTTGAATATGTAGTTTTATTGTTTGACATGAATGGTTAGCAGAAGCCGAGGAAACAACATTATTCAGTGTTGAGTAGAAATCAGAAACTAAGTTATATAATTTTGTTAAAGAATGACGACAAATATAAGTATAGAAAATGAAGAACTTAAAGCAATAATATATTATAAAATGAAAAGCATAAAAGAAAAACACGATTTTAAAAGAACTATTTCTCCCATGAACACACTAGAGAAATGCAGAATGACTTGTACTTGGACGAAGAAAGTAAATGGTTTAGAAATTCAGAGAACTGTTAAAGTAAGAGATAGGGAGAGAGAGGGAAGAACCTGATGGAGCGAGCTACAGAAAAATACTTCCTATGGAGACGTTAGTGAGGGAAGGCTTCATGGAGAAGCATCCAGGCGTGGGCCAGATTTCTCTCTCTCTTTCAATCTCTTCCCTCTCCCTTCCACCATTCTGCCGTTCTCCTTATTTTTCCCTTGACGGGTAATTACCCCGTGAGTGATGTGAGGAGAGCCGCTTGGGCTCCTAGTTTGCTCTCGCGTAATGGATGCTGGGCTGTTTGTGGCTCCCTTACTGCACTCACTAAGACGGAGTCTTTCACTCACACTTGTGGTTCCCTTACTGCACTCACTAACACACCAGGCGGAGACTTTCACTCACATGCGTGGCTCCCTTACTGAACTCACTAACACACCAGGCGGAGTCTTTCACTAGCATACCGCCCTACTTGGTGTGGTTCAGTTTTCACTCTTAATCGGTAGTTTTCTTTTTTATTTTATTGTTGCATTCAAATTATGCTAGATCCGCTACTAAAGCAGATACCATACATGTAAAAATTTCCCATAACTCTACAATAATGTTCTTGGAAAACAGTAATTATTCACATATTTTTTTTTTTTTACACCCAGAAGAAATACAGCATGAAGTCAGTTTTCATGGGTGTTACAAGTTGTAGAACATGTGCTACGGTTTTTTGTGATATTGTAGTTAAGCTTTACTCAACTAACATTTTTGCCTCGTACTATTATAGTATAATCTATATAATCTAGCTACAGTATATCTCACTTACATGAGGAAAGGTTGGGTAGATTTTATAAGGTTAAGTTAGGTTACGTAAGAACCGATGATATTTTCTTATGGTTGTGTTGCTTCACTTAAGAGTCAGTTCGAATGATTCGTAGTGAAATTATCTTTAAAACGCTCGACACATAAACAGTGGAAAGTTAACATTAATATTTGTACGACATAACACCCACAAAGGGCGTCATTAACATACCGTGTATTTGTAAATGTAAATATCTTAATAGGTACATTTTGAGCTATGAGGCTGTAATTTGGATGCTATAATAAACAAGTGTGTGTGTGTGTGTGTGTGTGTGTGTGTTCAATTTAAAATATTTTTCTTTTCGTTTTTACTCATATTTTGTTCACGATATGGCCATTGAAATTACCACTGTTTATTTGGTCTGTGTATTTTTGTATGTATATTTATCTGTCTCTTTTTCTGTCTGTTTGGCCTGTGTTATTTGTGTGTCTAGTTCTGTCTACGCGTTTAACCTATCTGACTGCCCTTGTCCCTGGTCATGTTCCTCCCCCTACTAAGCTGTGACCTCCTCCTTGCCAGGACACAGAGGTGAAGCACCACAAGACGGCCGGGGTGCTGGTGGGGGGAACTAACCTGGTGCTACAGAGTGTTCAACGCCCTGACGCTGGCACCTACACCTGCAACGCCACCAACGCCGTCGCCGCCTCCCGCAGTAATCCGTTCACTCTCAGTATACAGTGTGAGTACACCTGTATACGCATATACGCCCGAGTGTGTACCGCCTAAGTATGTACGAGTGTGTACCGTCTGTATAGTTATGTATGTACGAGTGTGTACCGTCCTGTTCAAGTATATATGTATATGTAAGAGTGTGTACCGTGCTGTATATCCGTGTGTGTCAGAGTATGTACCATCTATACATCAGTGTGTACCTCCCTGCATATTTATTTATGCAATAATAATAATAATAATAATAATAATAATAATAATAATAATAATAATAATAATAAATCAGTAAAGTTGTTATACAGGTTTACAATTGGATAAGCATGCTTATAAACTATGCAGTTATACAGTATACAGTTTCCTGTGTACCGAGACAGTGCAGGTAAACGACAATGGTAAACAGTAAGGCGACTTGACCATTGACAACCGACTAAGCTGTCAGGTGCTTATTTCCAAGAGGAAGTGATATTCTTATGACTGAGATACACCAAACAAACTCCCGTCTAAGTACAATAACATAATAGACTAAATGATACTGACAGCATTCAAAGTTCATGGGCAAATGCTCGTTATCATGAAGTACACACACTCCCAGGCTTCATCCACATGCACTGAAATTAAAACACCACACATGTGACAAATGCAGGCTTTCTCCTTTTTTATACTTATTTTTATGGTTTTCACTCGACAAAATAAGTAACTTTTCTCTGAAAATACTATTATGTGATCTTACAATGTTGTCAGCATCCATGAAATACATTGGTATGTGTCTGTGTGTAGCTCGCCTGTAGGAGCTTCTAAGGATTGGTGTGTAATGTTATAAAAGTATCTCTGTAATGTGTGTAAATGTCTGTAAATGTGAGTGCAGGAATACTGTTCCACCCCTTATTGATCACTCCCTATACTGGGTAAGTTCGCAGTGATGGCTGAGAAACGAGTTACTTACAACAATCATGACGGAGATTTATTTCAAGGGTACTGAATAAAGTAATTTGTGGAAGTGAATTGCGTCTAAGTAATGAAGTGCTAATGGAATGAATCCTAAGTAATGCTTTCAGTAACTGTGTATTAATTATTTATATTTGTTGACATCACTCGTCATAATCAGCCTGGTTTGTATAGTCCACGAGAGCTGGTTAATTTCAAGAAAATCTTCGTGCTGCAAAACTAAAGAGATCTAAATAATAACACGGAGTTATATATTATTGCAGACGGTAGATGTCTTTAATCGGCATTTTAGGTGTTTATGGTTTGAGAAGCCTATTTTATGTAAGAAAGGATGCCGATTAAAAAAAATAAGTCTTATTGGTGATCTGATGTTATCATTTTGAATATAATTATGTCCTGAATCGTTTGCAATAACTTTTATGGCCGTTGGCCAAGGAATAATTATCTGATAAACTAGGCCAACTCATTGCCAGATCTGGCCAGTTTTTGGTCAAAATACTATGGATACAGTTTTATACAGAATAACTTATACAATAATCAAATCATACCTTTTCAATTAAAACATATTGAAACAAAAGTGGGTTTGGTCACAAACTATAAAAAAATATAGTTTCTAAATCATAATAGTCATAATTATGATTTTATGTTTTAGAAAATGCTTGTGTATGGCTCTATCTTCTCTAAGGATCATACTCAACCCCATCCCTTCACTCTGAAAGCAAAGAACGTAAGAATGAGGTCAAATATAGTTGGGTAGTCTATCTATTTTGTAGTTGTTGTTATCTGTATAAATGGAAACATATATAGAGTCTATACATATTAATATTTACACTGATTTAATAAGATGACCATTCCGCACATCGCTCAGCCTACTGGGAAAAAACAGCGTGCTATCGGATGCTCTTGAGGCATTTTGTTTTTAAGTATCTAGTACCGATGTTCTTCTCCCACTTCATAAACCAGGATATTTATCGCCCAGAGTTTTTATTGGGTTAATATCACACCCAATGGTAGGATAATGATTTCACGAATATTTCATCTGTGAAACGTCCAATGATGTGCCCATGACCGCGTTCAGTCTCTAGCACTGTATTATTACAGTTTCTATAGACGAGCATGTCTTCCCATCCGTGGACAATCGTTGCCCTACAATGGTCGATATCGAAATAAAAAGATGAAGGCATAAATCCCAGCTAAGCCTCCTCTGCCAGCATTTGCCAGCACATAGCAGTAAAGAATGTTCTCAGGCAGGCGTCGTCTACTAGTCCGATGGTGGCAGATCAAGTACAGAAAACGTGTTACTTGTATTGTTGACATCAAAGGCTGGTCATAAGCAGAGTCTAAGATCCACCTGTTCTCTTTCTGTGTCGTAACATGAGGTCTGTTGCTGCGCGTCCTACCCAGCACTGACTAGTCACTTGCCAACGCATGATACACTAGTAGGGGGCATGCAACTAGACCCCCATCTGATAGTAATCAATGTACGTTTCCGTCTTTGCAGCTTCCAAAATCCCAGCTGCCCGGCTTGCTCTCTAATGTCTTCTGGGGTATTTGCTCGTCTTTTAACGCTCTTAATGGAAAATAAATTACATTGTAAAAGTATAATACACAGTTACAAGTGCAAAGTGTTGATGAAATGATTGTCTAGGAAGAGGAAGATTATTTAACATTACTTTAAATCATTAGAACATTAGAATAAGAAATGATATTCTGGATTATGAAAAAAAATATCAGCGAACAGTCATAAGAATAAAGGTATCTCACACAACGTGACCTTGAAAAGTCCTCCATATGCAGTTACGAGACTGAGAGAAGAAAAAAATTAGGCTCTCAAAATTAGAAGCGGAAATTAAAGTTGAGAAAGACCAAGGAAGGTGCTGGTAAGAGCCCTATTACCTCTACCACAAGGACTAACTTCCACCACCATTACGTTCGCCCACTTAAAGATAAGACATAAAATACCAATTTACACCTTTTGTTAAAATTCTAATGAACTTAATTAGAATTGTATATTGAAATGTTGAATCTTAACTTGTTTCGTAAAAAGAAATGTTTGAGGACATTCTGTTAAAATTATTATTTATTCAATTATAAATAAATGTATCTCGTCTTTTTTATCTACAGTACTATTTTAAATCTCAAAATATCTTCGCAACGTTCTTTCCTTTGGTAAGAACCCACCAATAGCAGCTATTCATAACTACTCATAACTTTCTGAACATAACTGTGGTGGTAAACTGTTATTTTTTTTATCTAAATTTTGTCGATTCTTCAGCTGTCTTTTAGTGTGGCTGCTTTTCTCATCGTCGACCCTTTCTGTTCCTTGATGACCTCTCACTACCTCCACACCCTCTCTTTCTCTCTCACTACCTCCACACCGTCTCTATCTCTCTCACTACCTCCACACCCTCTATTTCTCTCTCACTACCTCCACACCGTCTCTATCTCCCTCACTACCTCCACACCCTCTCTTTCTCTCTCAGTACCTCCACACCCTCTCTTTCTCTCTCAGTACCTGCGCACACACACTCTCTTTCTCCCTCAGTACCCCCATAACCTCTCTTTCTCTCTCAGTACCCTTCACACCGTCTCTTTCTCTCTCAGTACCTCCACAACCCCTTTCTCTCTCTCTCTTTCTCCCTCAGTACCTCCATAACCTCTCTTTCTCTCTCAGTACCCTTCACACCGTCTCTTTCTCCTCAGTACCTCCACACCCCTCTCTTTCTCTCTCAGTTCCTTCCCACCGTCTCTTTCTCCCTCAGTACCTCCATAACCTCTCTTTCTCTCTCAGTACCCTTCACACCGTCTCTCTTTTCTCTCCTCCACACTCTCTTTCTCTCTCACTACCTCCACACCCTCTCTTTCCCTCTCAGTACCTTCACACCGTCTCTTTCTCCCTCACTACCTCCACACCCTCTCTTTCTCTCTCAGTACTTCCACACCGTCTCTTTCTCCCTCAGTACCTCCATTACCTCTCTTTCTCTCTCAGTTCCTTCACACACCCTCCCTGTCTCGCTGTCTCTCTCAGTAGCTCCATACACCCTCTCTGTCTCTCCCCGTACCTCCATAGACCCCTTCTGTCAATCTCAGTACCTCCACTCACCCTCCCTGGCTCTCTGGCTCTCTCCGTACCTCCAAACACCCTCCCTGTCTCTCTGTCTCTCTCAGTACCTCCACACACAGTCCCTGTCTCTCTCAGTACTTTCACACACCCTCCCTATCTCTCTGTCTCTCTCAGTACCTCTACACACCCTCCCTATCTCTCTGTCTCTCTCAGTACCTCCACACACCCTCCCTATCTCTCTGTCTCTCTCAGTACCTCCACACACCCTCCCTATCTCTGTCTCTCTCCGTACCTCCACACACCCTCCCTGTCTCTCTGTCTCTCTCAGTACCTCCACACACAGTCCCTGTCTCTCTCAGTACTTTCACACACCCTCCCTATCTCTCTGTCTCTCTCAGTACCTCCACACACCCTCCCTATCTCTCTGTCTCTCTTAGTACCACCACACGCCCTCCCTGTTCCTCTGTCTCTCTCAGTACCCCCACTCACCCTCCTTGTCTCTGTGGCTCTCTCAACTCCTCCACTCACCCTCCCTGTCTCTCTGTCTCTCTCAGTATCTCCACACACCGTCCCTGTCTCTTTCAGTACCTCCACACGCCCTCCCTTTATCTCTGTCTCTCTCAGTACCTCCACACGCCCTCCCTGTTCCTCTGTCTCTCTCAGTACCCCCACTCACCCTCCTTGTCTCTGTGGCTCTCTCAATTCCTCCACTCACCCTCCCTTGGCCTTTTATGTCACTGTGTGTATGGTGAGCATCAAATAAGATACACAGTTTTTCATACACTATTAAGTGTTCTATTCTCCCTACAGTCACACACAGTCAATGACCTGACAACTCGCTCTCGGGACATGCATCATCACCATGTTACAGCACTGTCAGTCATCCCTCGGCAGCCTCTTCAGCTCCTTTCCAATATCGTCAGCTTCTCTCGAGTAATAAACCTTTGCTCTGTATAAACATCTTCCTCCAAATCATCAGCTGCAAGTCTTAACATCTCTTTCCTGTCATTTTCTTAATATCCTGACTTGCATCTTCTTATTTTTTGTTCTTTTTATCGTGCTCTTTCTATTGGTACTTCAACTATACGTTCGTGTGAGTCTCCTACCATCAGCCTCTCTTACTATCTACTACCTCCCAACCTCCCTTTTTTATTAATACCTCTAGTGTCCCTTACTGAAAGTCCTTGTGTCCCCTACAGACGGGCCAATGTGTGCCCAAGAGCGCGTGACGGTGACTGCGGTCGAAGGAGAAGTGGTGACGCTGCAATGTACCGTCGACGCCTACCCAGCCAACGTCACATTCTATTGGCTATTCAACAACACGGTCGACTCCACTCGCTTCAGGCCGAGCGAGGTAAGACTCGGGGTTATTGTCTTAGGTGTTTGATTTTTATACTTTAAAATATTGTAGTGATACATAAATATGAGATAATTTATTTTTTGCCTTTCGACTTGCAATATCATGGCGCTCGCTGGTCCTCTAGGAATAACCAACAAGACATCTGCTCTTGAAGTTCCCTTGCAATTTTGTACTCCTTGCAGTTCGGTGTTGTGTAAGAGAGAAAAAAAATAATCCCATTTTTTTTAATATTACACCAAAAGAAAAATGAAAATAAAAGTTGCAAGAAGATTTTGTTGTAATTTATTTTGCTTTCGGTTTCTGGCTCTCTGATTCAGTTTTTTTTTTAAACTGCACGCTTGTAAGTATCTTAAACTGGAGGTTCAATGTTTCCTTCAACACCACGCGCCCCAAAAACTCTTAAGATGAGTGACGAGCTATTCAGACCTAACGTATTTTTCAGCGTTCTGTAGTATTAGTTTTCAGTGTATGTTTTTTTACATACATCTATACTCATTTTTCTTAGTACACGGTGGAAGGGTCTGTGTCGAGGCTGCGGTACGTGGCTTACTCCGCCCGGGACTACGGCACCGTGTTCTGCTGGGCATCCAACGTGGTGGGCCACCAGAAAGACCCGTGCGCCTTCACCCTCCAGCCTGCAGGTACTCACCACTCACACACTGTTTTGTTTATCCTCTAGTCTCATGTTAGACCTCACTCGCAAACTATTATGCTCTTCTACCAACTTGCAGATAACCATTATTCACACTCTAGCTCATATAGAGATATATAGAAATATAACACTATAAATTTGGGGCAACGAAACATGACATTGCATGATATATTTGTAAGGACAATGTTATCAAGTTACAAAGCAATTTGCAACACTTTAAAAATGCTTGTTATGCAATTTATTCAGCTAACCAAGAGTGTTAATATCAACTGATTTTTAGTGTGTCGTGCAACGAAATATACTGTATATCTTTAGAATATTTACATACAAAGAGGTCCACTATACATTGTGGAGTCTTCAGGTGGTTTTTGCAACGTCCCTTGACTGCGTTTAACCTAGCACATGATAAATGGGACGTTTTCCCAATTTTTTTGGATAACACCTGGTGTCGTTGTCTGAACATACTGCATTAATTTCTTAGGCTACTTGGGACTTGTACTTACTCACAAGTATAAGAATAACTACAAAAGTGACACATATATTTTATATCCACATTATCTCATTTAAATGGGTTTTCATGAAGGTAAAACCACTTTATCTGTTGTCTTCCCGATACAGGCGCACCCGACAGTGTGCGTGACTGTGTGCTGACTAACCAGTCGGCAGGGTCTCTGCACATCACCTGTAAACCGGGTGCTGACGGAGGACTCACACAGACCTTCAGGTGAGTCTCTTAAACTGTCCTCTATACCACTTTCTTCTATCACTACATGTGGGTATATCCCTTTTATATTTGCATGCAAAAGGAATCCTATATGAAATTTTTAGATTCGTTGTACACCCATAAAGGTTTCCACTACCTTACTAATGAGTTAATCAACGAGGTACCCAATTAACTGAACACAGTATGCACAGTATGATTTAACCAGTATAGTTAAAATTGGTCTCGAGATTTTGTGGTCAGGAGGAAGAAAAATAGACCCGGGGTAAATGAATACGGTGGAAAGAGATGAGGAAAGAGAAGAGGATGGATGTACGTACCAGAGGAGCAGCCCAGATAAAGGAGGATCGTAGAATGGACAGGTAGCAGACAGTGACACGCCACACACCAAAAGTGAAAAAAAAGGGAATAAAGAAATGAGGACAAATTTTGTTTTTCAACATTAAATCATTCAATACACAATGAAAGAATTGCAAATCCTTAAATTTCCTTCTTCAGTACAGTAGTGCTTCAAACACCAGTACAGAAACGTGTTTGTCTATACTTGTACAAATCTCAGAGGGTGTTGTTGATGAATCTTGTTTACACACAAATTAGATAGGTGAAGCATGATGCTCGGGAGTGTCAGGGGAGGTGTGCTCAGGGTGGCGTTGTGCTTCTTGTATGTTAATGAATGCACTGCTCAGAATAACATTATGATGCGTATACAGTGACTGCATGAGGCATATATGCACAGCGACAGTAAGGAGGGTGTGTTTATAGTGATGGTGGGGAAGATATGTATGGACACAGTGATGGTAAGGAGGAAAATAATAATAATAATAATAATAATAATAATAATAATAATAATAATAATAATAATAATAATAATAATAATAATAATAATAATAATAATAATAATAATAATAATAATAATAATAAACGGTTTATGAAGTTGCAGCCGGTGGCTGAAAATATACAAACTTACATGTGATTTAGACATAATAAAATACGTTCAAAACATTTACAGGGCTGTACAGTACTTAAATCAGGAGCTATTTATTATTCTAACAATAGATGGGATGGTGCTATTCTTATATCTATCAGTGCGGGCTCTTATGGGCTGAATTTTGTTGTAGTGGCGGACTGCGCGAGGTGGGCAGAGTACTGCAGGTGGTAGTAGGTGGCGATGACGAGGATGGTGCAGTAGTCCACTACCAAACCTTGCTATTGCGTGGTGGTGGAGGTCACTGAGGGATGGCATTTCCATGGTGGAGAGAGCGTTGTTGTAGCCGGAGTAGTCTGCGCCGAGCATGATTCTGCAGGCCCTCTTCTGTACCTTCTCTAGCTGACGTTGTTGGGTAGAGTTGACAGAAGACGAGGCTGGTGACACATACGTTAATTTGGGGAGTGTAAATTCGTTGTAGATAATCCTCAGCTCTGGCGTGGGTGCCCCAAGTGACCTGAGTCGTGTGCACATAGATGTGTGGGAGGATATGTGTACACAATGATGGTAGTAAATATATACACTATGTGAGGGTGCACATAGTGAGATGGTTTCTATACAATGAAAGACAAAAGTCGTGTAGCGGTTTTGTCCGAAGATTAAATAAAACTCGTGAAACATTATGAGAGCCTCCTACCACAAGGCAGAGCGTACCAAAAATTTAGCCCTTCCGCGTATGTTTTCACCAAATTTCACGACACGACTTTTGTCTTTCATTGTACATTGTGGTAGTAAAGATGTATCTTATCGTGGAGGTGTACTGTACAGTACGTAGAAGTAGTGGAAATGTAAACAGTAGAAAAGCACTATGGTGGAGGTGTACACAAACAACGTGTAAACAGTGACTGTGGATGTGTACACAGTGGAAGTAGGGATGTACTGTGTGTACAGTCCACGAAAAAACTTTTCATTACATCCCCGAGCATTATGTCCAAAACTCATAATGGAGAGCTTGGCTAAGCTTTCCCGTCAATGACAGTGAACCATCGAGGTTCGAGTCTGAACCACCAATATAAGTCACTATTTAACAATAGATGGCGCCCGCATGTGTATGTGTATGTGTATGTGTAAGTGTATGTGTACAGTATGTGTACTTTGCCATTTCTCGATGTTGGGAAAGTTAGTCATTTAGCAATGCACACAAGTGTGACTGTTAATAATATGTAAATTATATTTCATTCATCCTTTACTAGAGTTCAGCGGCGTAACATCGTTAGAGGTTACCAATAGTCATTCAGTGAGTCAAAAGGGGCAAAGGGGGGAGGGGAGGATAGTGGGGGGGGGGAGGGAGGGAGAGCTGGTTGGGTGGGTGCCTTCCTTACCAAAACTCAGTATTACAAATACGAATATATATATTTTCTTACTATATATTGTATAACCAATTATTAATACTCATTATATTCAGGCACTAGTGCCGGTGTGCAGTAATGATTAGGAATCATCGTCAAACGTATGTTAAGACAATGTTTGCGTTATGCCAACATATTATGTAGAATTTGCTGAGATAAAAATAACCGAAATTTCATACTTTCTCAGTATGCCATCACTACTATTGTACAGCAAATTATGTGGGAAACATTTTAACAACTGATAGAATATTACTGACAATTTGATATCACAATGTGTGTGTTCTATTTATCGGGTCGTCTGCGTATACTCTCGTCTGCACACCGTTTACAGATTGATACAGTCGAAAGAGATCAAAAGGCAGGCTGGCCCCCAGAATCACCCGTGTCCCTCGCGTTTTGCCGATTTTCCTTCCACAATAGTCGCTTACAGAGTAATGTAAAGGAAATATATTACATTCACAAGTCCTACCGTCAGGTTGGTATAATGTTTGATAACGATTAAGAAAAGAAAGTTTAGCATTTGCGATGTGATTTGCCTATTAGCGCATAGCAGGTCACAATTGCAATTTTGTTTCTTAAAATGAACACATCCACAATGCTTACGATACAAACATATAAGAATATCAATTGAAATGTTATATTATGTGGATTCCTTAATATCCTGATAAAACATAATAGAAAATGCAAGGATCAGCCCTCACAACTGGAGCACCTTCCGTCTACCCGGCCCAAGTAATTGTCCCCTTTACTCCAAACATCCTTCCCTACTGCCCCTATCATGTTCATATTTGGGTGAATAAGGTCAACAGGTGGGGCTCAGCCAGGAAGGATGAATTAAAAATAATTTACAAATCATTAACACTCATACACTAAGGAATGTATGACCCGTCTCTTTAATATTATTCTTTAATCTCACATGGTCGTATTGATAAATCTGGGAGTATGCACAGTGGCTGGTGGTATACACAATGGTGGTGGAGATATACACAGTAGCGGTGGAGGTATACACAGTGGCGGTGGAGGTATACACAGTGGCTGGTGGCATACACAATGGTGGTGGAGGTACTGTATACACAGTGGCGGTGGAGGTATACACAGTGGCGGTGGAGGTATACACAGTGGCTGGTGGTATACACAATGGTGGTGGAGGTATACACAGTGGTGGTGGTATACACAGTGATGGTGGAGGTATGCACAGTGGTGGTGGAGGTATGCACAGTGGTGGTGGTATACACAGTGGTGGTGGTGGTATACACAGTGGTGGAAATATACACAGTGGTGGGGCATACACAGTGGTGGTGCAGGTATGCACAGTGGTGGTGGTATACACAGTGGTGGTGTAGGTATACACAGTGGTGGTGAGAGGTATACACAGTGGTGGAGGTATACACAGTGGTGGAGGTATACACAGTGGTAGAGGTATACACAGTGGTGAAGGTATACGCAGTGGTGGAGGTATACACAGTGGTGGTAGAGGTATACACAGTGATGGTGGTATACACAGTGATGGTGGAGGTATACACAGAGATAGAGGTATACACAATGATAGTGGTATACACAGTGATGGTGGTATACACAGTGGTGGAGGTATACACAGTGGTGGTAGAGGTATACACAGTGGTGGTGGTATACACAGTGATGGTGGTATACACAGTGGTGGTGGTATACACAGTGGTGGTGGGCCAGCAGCAGCAGTTACACACCTTTAACAGCCATAAGGACCACTGGCGGTAATGTTGGTGCAGCAGGAAAACTCCACAATAATGGGTTAGTCTGATAATGCAGGTAAAGGTTTTACCTGGACCTCAGACTTAGGTTTACTCAATTATTTCCTCTAGAAACTGGCATAAATAACTATTGCCTCAGGCCCATATAACAAAAGACATTAATTGAAAGTTTAAATAACATTATGCAATTAATATTTAACCACATCTTTTTCATCATATTGTCAAAAATTATTATAGAATTGTTGTTGTTTTTTGGGGAGACCGATAAGGTGTATGTTGTACTCATACATCAAGTGACTCTTGCATATAACATTATATACCGATGATGGGTATGAGGATGAATATATATGCATGAGTTATATATAGTAACTGGCTATTCACGTTACTGTATCGGTTTAAAATGTACAGAGTGAGAGTTGTACTGTACCTCAGTATGTTCGTTTCCCCTTGTAACTAAGAACCAAGATATGTGGACCCATATGTTGTAAACATTCTTTTCAACTCGTTTGTTACATTACTATAATTATCAATACACAAGTATAAACATATATGCAGGTAAAACAGTGCTCTCACCGTTCTTCTTTAGTTCCTAACAAATAATGTTATGTTGTATGTCTATTAGTTGTAAGCTGCAAATTTATATTTTCAAGCCGTCACCTGTATGTATTAGCCCCTGTCTTATAGGCAGAAGTATTTTTGTAAATGGGTTAATTATATTAGACATATATTCTATCAGCCCCTGTAACTTTCCACCAGCTATGAGGTAGCATGTTCAGAGCACGTGATAAGGTGTGCCCACGGGAAGTCACGTCACTTGGTGCTGAGTTAAGCATTAAGTAACCGGCTCTCTGGCTACCTATTGCGGGCAGTATTTTGATAACCCTGACTAGAGGAAGGCGTTATTGAGAGCCATCGTGGATGGTTCCGTCTTCCCTCGAGGGAGGACGTCGGATATATTTCCATTCTTCCCTCGATGGGTCCCTACTCACCTCACTCAGCTATCTCATCAACAGAACGTACTTAGCAGAGCTATTTAACATGGCCTCCGTCCTCATTTAACACGCATAGCTACAGTGGTTATGTTACGGTGATAATCCTTTTTGAAAGCGTACATAGAAACCTTTTATAATAAATACAAACAAAGGAACATATTGGATTTCACTACAGAAGATCCAATAAACTTTGATCTATATTTTAGTATGTCTAAAGTATAAGGTAACGAGCTTCACAAGTGATTGTTACAAGTGGTGACAACCCTGGAAGGTTGTTACATATATGACAGTTTCACAAGTAACTGTTATATTAACGGTAACAGTCACCTCAACAGATACACAGTTGGTAAAGATAGCGATATTATGTTCTCCCCATTACTGTGGCATACTGTTACATCTGTTACTAAGAGAAGCAAATCCTTATATGTATGTCTTAACACAAATACAGTACATGAACTTAATCTTGTTTGGAAAAGAGCGGAGGTATACGCTGGGGGGTCTGCCAAGCCAGTGCGAGTGTTGGAAGGGATGTCCCCGGTGTTCACGTTGGAAGGTCTGTCTCCCGGTGGGGACTACGTAGTCACCCTCACCGCCTTCAACCGCAAGGGCGCCTCACCCCCTGTCTCCCTGGAGGCCTTCACCCTCAAAGTAGCAGAGAACAGGATGAGTAAGTATTGACATAATTCAATACTGTCTGTTTATAGGATTTTAAATTTAAGTCTCATTTAAAATGAGCTTTTCTTAATACAGGGTTCGTAGTTTAAAAATAAATAAATAAAGATCAATTTCTAGGTAATAGATTAACTGTATATATTCTAAGTATTTTTCATATTATATAAATATCTCATTTTGTAACTTAATATTAAGGAATTCTGTATGTACTCCATGTAGTCTAACACATTTTACTGATCTATGGCGTTTGTTGTACTTTGTCATTATCTATATAATGATACTTATGGTAAAAGTGAAGAAGTCGGCATGCGATAGAAATACGAAAGTAATCTACTTTCACCCATAATGCAAAATTTGCTAGGAGAAAGATATTTGCAGTGGGAGGGCGTCACACACTATCAGAAAACGATACTGTTTTATGATTCTCTGAATCATGAACCGGAAAAGTGGAAAGGAAAAAAAATCATGAGCATCCATCAGTAATTAGAAACCTTACCAAGAGAAATGTTTTGAAGAAAAATATAAATGTCCCAAACATTTCATCCACTAGAAAAGATATTAGCATAATTACACGTTAATTAAGATTCGTTATGGCCAGGGACCTTCGTCACGCCCGAAATTTTGTGTGGTTGAGGATAATCCCAAACCCGCTCCAAACGTTTACTCTAATTGCCAAAACTGACACAATCAGCTTATACAGAGTCTTTGCAGGACGAAATGACGAAGATAGTTTATAACATACAATAGTCTACGTATTTCATATATATTTTGGAACCTAAAGTATGTAATTAATTTTTCCAACTTCAAAATTTTCAACTCACCATTGATCAGGTCATTAACTCTACAAATTCGACAAACACGGCCATCACCAGAGAATATGTAAACAATGAACATAATGTGAAAGATAGGTAGAGAGGTGATATGACTAAAGAAAGTCCATAAAACATTGATGTTTCTTTTTCAATTAATACAGTCCTTAAAGGAAAATGAATGTATATGAAGCGTTACGCAAAATATCAGAATTAATTTTGCTAATAATTTTTTTTAGAGACCAGTGAATATTACTAATCTAAAATAATATCATCTACAGTCAGATTTTGTCTAATTGAATGAAACTTCCATGTAAGTTAAAATCTACTAAATCAGTCTTTTTCTGAGCATTAACATTTGTAATTTGGAGATCACTGCCATAATGGTCACGTGTTCTCAAGAATTCACCGAAAACTTAACGAAGGATCAATATACGAGTATAGATATGATCATAAGTTTCGTTAGTAAATTACCTGCACGTGTACCCCTAAACTTGCAAGTTTTATAAAGACAATCATCCTTCTTATTTGTCCTACATTACTAATTCTGTGTATCTCAACCAACATAGTGAAAAAGACACACAAAATGAATAACATGTAGTTTCTTCATCGCCCGCTGTGGCAGTCGCCGGAGTGTCTAGTAGTCAACCTGAACCTGAGGAAGGCCCTGCTGGGGCGGTGTCCCCCCTCCTGGGCGTTTTCCTGGGTGTTGTGGGTGCCTTCCTCCTCCTGGCCGCTGCCGCCATCTTCATCACTCGTCGCCACTGTTCCAGAGGCGCTGGCAGGACTCCTGACCTGGTGGCTGGCCAAGGTGAGTCATGAAACTACATAGTTGTAGTCTATAACAACGTATGGAACAATATTTACTGCCTCAACAATGATAAAATACGTTTCATTGACATTTACATCTCTTGAACTTTTCTTGATATCTTGGATAACATCATGTTAAGTAACGAAGCTGTACATCAACTGTGTGTGTTATTTACTGACGGTCTATAACTTCTTGCGAATCAGAGCTAGAGGTGAAGGGCGACACCGCGGAGGCAATGACCAGTGCCAAGGGCGAGTTGGTGGATAACTCGGACCTTACCGAGGCCGACCCCTTCCTGGTGAGTCATCCCTTTCCTAAGGAGTAATTTTTTTTAAGAGTCAGCTCTCTCTTGGTTAATCAGCCTTCCCTGATAAATCAACACTTCCATGATGATTCTCCTCCTCCCCGATGAATCATTGCTTCACGATGAGTTAAGGTTGCTCCTAATGCCCCACCCTGCATGTTCTCTCCATTATCCTCTTTCTGTAGTTAATAGATGGGTGACACTTTTCGGCTATATATATTAAAGTCTGTCACATTGTTTTGAAACTCAAACTAGACATCATTAGCTGAACCATCTAAATGGGAATATGAGGACTTAACCATCGGTAAACACAGCATGATGGCCACCTTCTCCTGTAAGAATTACGAAGAAATTATGACAGGGGAACTGGCCAACAGTGACGGTTCAGACACACAGTAATGCATAATGAACACCAACACTGATCGCTTTGTCCCGGTACACGTCACGCCGGTACACGATGCCTGTGTGTTGTCTGAAGCTCACTCAAGAGTCTGGCGTCCTGTAGAGTTGTCTCTCCATTGTTTACTTATATGGTTTTTTCACTGTCTCAGGAAAGCCTCAGGACCTGTGACCTGAGAGCTTCGCTGAGAGAGTTGTTGATCTGCAAGCATCAGATACCACACACTGGCCGGGACCAAACGACAATGGCTGAGCACAGCTTCTATGCAAGTATTCGTGCACCAACCAATCTGGTTTCACCAAAAATTATGCAATTCTCACTTTTTTTTTTTACTTATCGATCTAAATCAGACACAACGATTATGGTGCATCTTACTCTCCATACTAGCTACTCTGGCACGCATTCTTCCCTGCTCCCTATGTATTATATGTCTTGCAGTGTCAATACCAAGACCCCTTGGCTTGTGGTAATCATATGCAATACAAATATAACACAGTAGCTGTCCTTATCCATTATAAATGAGGGCTACGAAATAAATGACTATCACTTTTATTATTGCATAAAAAAAAAACTCATTTTAACCAACGACACTTGTTTATATCACGTGTTTATACATACTATTTAATTCATCATGTGCACAAAAGTCCCTTAGATTATGACAGATATAATATAATACGAACACCACTTATAAAATGAGAAGACGAGAGTGAATATTGTCTACTCATGTACGAAGATGTGAGTGTAGTGGAGGGGGAGGAGTATAAAGTGTATGCATGTCTAGTGGACTAGTCGTGTAACCAAGTGGCTTTACAATTGTTAGTATGAAGTCTGAATGAATGTATTAAGGAACCTGAGCCTAACGTCTTTTTTTTTTTTGGAGCATGAACCAGTAAGGGTAACGGAGCATGACTAAGGAACTTATGAGTTACAAAAGTGCATGAGTTTGGCAGTGCATGAGTGTGAGAGACTTCTGGTGTGTGAGCAAGTGAAATTGGTGTGTATGAGTGTCTGTGTCAACTTGTGTAAATGCCAAGGGATGTGGTAAAGTTTTGCTGCGGTTTATGTAATGGTGTATGTAGGTTAAGCCCCCGAGTTAAATGGAACCCAAATTTATCTTAAAATAAGTTTGTGAATCATATATAGTGAGTGAGGCTTATAGAGATTGTGAGTGTGAGTCATTGTTAAATGAAGCATTTAGGAGAGTAGAAATGAGAGCGTGACCTCTACTGGAGGGTTACTGAAGGCTGAATGTGGCGTAACCCCATATGGCGACTCTCCCCCAGGCCACATCAGAGGGCAGCACAGGGACGGCCTCCACCCCGGCCAGCGCGGGCGGAGGGGCGGTGTTCACTATCCCCGCCCACATCCCGCCCCCACCCCAGTACTGCTCTGCCTCCTGTAACGACCTATCGCCCACCCAGCACGCACTACAGCACACATCTGCCCCCCAGCACACTATCCCATGCTCTTCGGGTATTCAGCACACGCTCCCACGCTCCTCGGATAATCAGCACGCTCTGCACCATGCTCAAGGCAGTCAGCACTCTGTACAACGATCATCTCCATTACAGCATTGTCTCCAGCGTTCCTCCTCGGTGGAGCGAAGCGTGGGACGCAATTTAGGCTCTCAACACTGTCTGGCGCGGGCCTCCCCACCTTTACGCCCCCAACATCATGGCACGCCAGCTACCTTCTCCTTACAGCACCCAGCCCATCCCCAGATCATCTACACCACGGGGACGGACGCCGCTCTACAGCAATCACCCGGAGTAACTCAGGCACCCCACCCGGCCGCTATTCACTACGTGCAACCTCACCCAGGCCTCGGAGGCGACGCCCCATCAGTCATCACCACCACTCATATGAGCGTCCCTGTGTCTCACCACCCTGTGTCACAGCATATGGGTCTGGGGCTTGCACCAAGCCACTTAGGAAGTGGACCACACCCTCAGAGGACTTTAGTATCACAGGGAAGCATAGAGCATACAGGGGAGTCTCCTATCACGCACTCAAGCCCCAAAAACAGAGCCAAGCACGTCACCTGGACAGGTGGACCCACACATGGGGAGGAGAGTGCTGTGTAGCAACTTGATGCTCATGATGCTGTTACTGCTTCTGCCCGGAATACTGCAGCTCACCAACTATGAACATTAATATGTCTCTGCTAACAGTCACATACATTCTGTTCGCGTAAACACGTGCAATTGTTCGTTCAAGGAAAGATACAAATATGGCGACAACTACACGCACGTTTACAATAATCGAAAAACACGAAAACAACAGTCACTCATTTATGAATATGTACGAGTACGCATATTATTTGCTTTACAAGCACACATGGAACCTTTTCTTAATTTTGACCACATTTTTTTTTTCAAAATAGCACTTTTTAAACTAGGAAATCTGTATATATGAAATGAAATCCACTAAGCTGGGAAATTATGGCATCATAAAATAATTGTTACATCCTCATATACCGCGCACATCAGCACCACATCTACAAACATACAGTCATGCACGGTTCTTCTTTAATTGCTTAACATCACATATAACATATATTGTTGAACTTTATTCTCAATGCTTTTTGGTTAAGTTTAGTGATATTTTATACTGTACATAGATACAAACTAATTTCCTCAAGACAACTTATAGGATTTACAATCATCTTATCAGGTTACAAACTGTTAATTATATTGTTATTATATTAACAATAATTACTCGACCTACACTACAGTGACTTGCGTGGCGCGTAAATGAAAAATAATTACATTAGAGAGATACTGGCGGCCTTAATCACTTCTTCGGTCGACAACTCATCCTGTATAATTCATTATTTTTAGAACTTCACTCCATAAAACATAATTCATTAGGACGGCAGTTTATAGTGAGATAGCACTCACCCTCTCTGGTTATAATTGCTCACTTGTCACGCGTCACGCAGTTACTACTTTTCTCTAAATCAACTAAACACAGATAAATAATTATCTAAATAAAAATCCACTTCCTTGCCCCAATCATCAAGTCAGGTAAGTAAGTGATGTTTACGCAAATGAGCGTAACTATAATTGTTCACTTATACAGTTAGAGGACCACATGCGTTACTGTAACTTAACCAACATAAATCTTTGTGGATTTATGGAATCGGACTCGACCCATTGGTGCCGCCAGGCAATTCTATGTAAAAACAATTTAAAGATTTTATATTTCTGTGGTAAATATGATAAGAACAAATCGAAAATGAAATATTATTTTTTAATTATATTAACAATATTCAACTGAAGTATTTACGCCTGGAAAGTTAACTGTGTTCTCTTACTGTCAGTGGACTCCTACAGATCATTAATTTCCCCTACATAGGATAAACCTCAAGGAATATACAGGTCTTCAGTCAAATATAAAAACTGAACGAGTTGGTTTCAGAACTGTTGAAGAGAAAATAATAAACAGTTAGGTAACGTTACTTCTCAAAATTAGTTAATTGCTTTAAATAATGAGAACAATTAACGGCCCCCAAAAAACTACGGATATTGCACAAAACTGTGTCGTTATAGTAACAGATAAACAGCATCTCACGTACTTAATAAACTTATTGAACGCATAGGCACCAGTATTCTGTCATCACCATATTCCAGTTACTGTTGTCTTAGTTCAACACGCAGCAGACACACACACACACACACTGGCTCCAAACCACCGAGTGGGACATAAAAATAAACAAACATCACCGATATTTCTTCAGAGATGTACTGTACGTGAAGTAATAAATTCGGGTCCTCTCAAGAAGTAATTACGTCTCTGGGGTTAGTCATGTGTGTCACTCTATTTACTTCCATTTCACCCTGGAGTAGCTAGACCAGCTTATAACTGGGAACTGTGATATGAAGACTCCCGTGGGGTGGGGGGGCTGGGTGTATGTAGGAAGACGTCATCACTCCCTCTCACTTAGGACCATTGTTAAGTGAAATAATTAGAATCCCGGGTGTTTCATTAACTTTATATATATACCTCATCTTTCCTTGTGTTACTTATTTATAATTACCTCTAATTGTAAAAGTTTCGTTGATAAATGGTTAGACGTAGAATTTTTTTTACTATATTGAGGCTATTCGATTTCTTATTTTGATATGATGACAGGAAAAGGTTAAAGTTTGGGTTGTTTACTTCCTGTAACTGGCATATCAAGCAACGTTCTGAGAAGTGATGATTTCGTCGAAACTTTCCAAATGTAGAAAAATGTTCTAACTTCTAAGAATGATTGAATCGAAAGATTTTTGACAAAAGTCTTTATCTATATCCATATGTTTAGACTTAACTGATACATAGAATTCGTGAACATTATGAAGCAAAAGAAAAATGAAAATCACACACACACACACACACACACACACACACACACACACACAAACACAGAATGATATTCAGAATAAAAAAAATCTGAATATCTTAACATTAAAAAAACTAGTACAGTATAGTTACATGAGGCAGTAACATTTTCTGCATGTATTCACGTCATTAGAGGAGATTTAGCCCGGATGTATTGTAACTTGAGTTAATATTCAGAGGGATTATTGTAAGGGTCATCACATACATAAACATTCCTCATTTCAATTCGTTAAGTGGATACATGAAGTAGATAACTGAATTTTTTAAAGTAACCTGATAAACTTAATCAACTTGCTCGTAGAGTAGTGAAGTACCAGCAGCCACGCCTCACTGAAGCTGAAAAACACCGGAATGTTAGAGAAATCACTCAAGGAAAACTTTGATGTACTCACACAATAGCTCAAATAGATTTACGCATGAAATGAAAACGTCATTCTTTTCCTTACCTTTTTGGGGTGGGGGGGGGGGGAGTATAGGTGTGATTTAGTGGAAAAGAAATCTCAGAAAATTATTGTGTCATCTCAGAGAGTGTGCTAAGTGAATTCCTGAGTGTGAATAACTACGAAGACCATCTGGGTATACACCACCTACCATCGACCACAATTGGGAACAAATGAGACTCAGGAAATAATTGACGAAGAAAACGAAATTAACGAAGATTCATGAATGGTGTCAGTTAATGTGAGTTTGCTCTTTATTTATTGTAGCAGAAGCAGATATAGCAAGTTACTTGTGGTTTGGGTTGTTTACATCATAGTCTTAGGTTGGCTGTGACACCAATCTTCTCACAGAGGCTATGTAGACAACCGAGTGCCAGCATCTCTGTGGCACCACACAACTCACAGCAGTCATGTAAACAACCACAACCCGGAGTCTTGCTCTCTGGTTCACACACAAAACTAGTTTTTTCATTTCATTCTGTGTTATGTATTGTGTGAAGAAAACTGTAAACTATTCCAAGTTATGAACAAACCCCCAACATGTTAGTTAATGCACAATAATAATGTTATTAGGTAAGGTACTGTGATATAACTAAGACAAGAAATTTTGCTATTGTATCTACACAACCGTGTATATATATATATATATATATATACATATATATATATATATATATATATATATATATATATATATATATTACTCATTTTTGTTTGTATAAAGAAGCAGTTTCCATAACCTATAAAGTGGAACATTAACTGTGTATGATATTCTTAAAACCAGTTTTATATGGAGTCTATTTTGATATGTCAACGACAAGGACTTTGCATGTATCACCAATAAACTTTGTAATGAAGATCACACTCGAATTATTTATGATATCCCATCCAGAGACTAATTCCAGTAATAAAAATAAATACAAAATCTGACTGCGAAAGATTCATGTGTTACCCTTTGAAAAGGTATACGAGTATTTTCACATCCCAGCACATTATATAGAAACTGGCTGTGAATTGTTTCCATCACTGAATTTTGCTGAATAAATTTATTAATACATCAGTGATTGGTTAACTGATATACAGTATAGTAATATTTTCAGTGATACAGGTCAAGGGAACTTTTATTATAATCTTTTTTATAAAAGTGCCTTAACGTAACCAATACGAGTCTAAACTAAATTAGACTTACTTAACTTAGATGGGTTTAGCCTCTGACAGACATATCCCGCAACTGTTTTTACTTCATGTGCACTGCAAGTCATCTAATATTACACGAAAGGTAGAAACACTAGCTAAATATTTAGGAGTCAATAATTACCATACAAAAATTTCTTAAAAAGAGTCATGCATTTCCATTTTATTTTTAAACGAACATGAAAAGGGCGAGTAACGGGAGGAGCACTCCATCTCCCATTTCTTCACCCTTTCGTCTTGAGAACACATTTAGTCCTAGACACAAAATCGTGTGCATGGACCAATGACGAGGACTTCAAAAGTGAACAAACATCATGGAGAAAACATTTCACGGGGTCCCCGGCACCATCTTCAAATACTCCCGATGAGGCGCCCACCACCAATTAGTATTATTAGACATTACAGAGCTTCCTGTTCCAGGGGTCCGAATCCCGAGCTCTCCCAGTCCATCCAGCTATAAATGGGTTCTTAAATTTACATCCTGAGGAAGTAAACGCGGTTGAGAGCAGTGCCGGCTTTGCTGCTTCCTTGAGTACCGAAGGCTTAGTATACATTGTGCTGTATCCACACTGTCCCAAACGGCAGAAGCTGTAGATGCACTCAATCTTCTCGTAATTTCCTCATACGGCTTCAGTGTTCTCACACAGTTGGATAAGATGGCCCATTCGGAGTTAGTCAGTTGCTGGCTTTTAGAGTTAGAAGCTGCATACAAGGTACAAGCACAATGGCTTCCTCACTTGTCAATACGCTGGAGCAAGTGTAGATTGCCGTTCCGACTTGTTGGTATGTCATGAATCACACTGAGGTTTCGTTGTTGAAGTTTTTCATGTTTTTTTTTTTTCAGCTCGTCTTGAACCATGGTTGAATGGTTAAAATGGGTTACAATGCTACGACAATTAGAAATAATGTCACCAACTGCCTTCTGTGAGGCTATGCCATTTTTCACAACTAACTGTATTTGATGAACTGTACAGTCAAGAATGTTAGGTCCTGCATCTCGTAGAACAGTGAACATCGTTATTCAAGCAAACTGTTTCATTTTTCCACCATTTGGTCAAACTTCTCTGAGAGATACTCACCGATGTGACTTCCCCTTAATGTTTCTGCACTCAGTATTATGTTTACTTTCTGAAAATCATCGTCCATGGCATGTGCAATTAGATTGAGCAGAAAAACACCGGCAGATGTGTCAGCCCATGCGTCAGTTTATGAACTAAAGCACATACTTTTTCAGACACAGTATCATAAACGTCATCACAAATCAGTGATGCATAAAACATACGCATAGGTCCTCAACAAGAGAGAATGGTAAATCATCTACAATTAACATTTGTGCAATACGCTTATCTATCTCTTTAGACTTTGAATGAGAAGCATCCCATGGCTTTACACTTTCGATACACTCATCTATTGGGTTTTTTTTCAGCAAGTTTCATTAGTTGGAGAGGAGTTTTATCCCTTTGCACTTTCTGTTTTTTACCTTTTCTTGCTTCAGCCTCCTGTCAGTTCATTGTACTGTATTATTGTATTGTATGCATTGATCTCAAATAATTTCTAAGAGAAGTTGGACCACGTCCTTTGTGGGAGTAAGATTTCTTACACAGATTACATTTTGCCAAGTCATTTGTTTCTAATGATAAATAATTCCACACTAAAGTGGTTGACAACGCCATTTCAATGAAAGGTTTTTAACTGTGATAGAATGTTACACCCCCAGTAAGGATAATTACCAACAGAAGTAGGCCAGATCTAGCAGCAAAACATGTGCTACAGCACAGAGCGCAGGGTGAGGGGAGAGTGTGGCATCCGACGACCCGTGCGGAATACATGGACACGTTCTGGACGAACTTTGAACGGACCCGGACAGAATCTCTCTCTCTCTCTCTTTATATATATATATATATATATATATATATATATATATATATATATATATATATATATATATATATATATATATATATATATATATATACTGTATATATCCTATCTATCTTTCTTTCTCTGTCTAAACTTGTAAATATCTGATTGTGATCAAAGGCGAATTAACCCAACCATGGGCCTGAAGGCCTGTAGAATTTGTTTATTTTTTCACATATGTTCCCTGTTTCCCTGCAAGCCTTGGAATTACCCGAAAACAGGGTAATTACCCTGTCAACTTTGTGAGACACCTACTGCAGTGAAATATGTCAATCTCAACTAAATATGGAAATCTCAACCTCTACTCATCTGAAACATCCTCATGTATTGGGTGCGCTGCGGATGCGGAAGTGAAATTTTTGCGGATGCTCTGCGGATGCGGATGCTGATTTGGCATCCATTTATATTAGTAAATAATATAAACTATGAATAAACTGTACAGTATTTATAAAATATCAACTAAACATTAATGGAATTTGAATAGAAACTAACCTAACCTAACCTAACCTATTCACTGAAATGCAAAAAAAGTAATAACTTCTGAAAATAAGGAGAGAAAATTCTTATTGTGGAAATTACAATCAATAGAGAAATACGAAAATTGGGTAGAGAAAAAATAAAAAAAAGCATTTGTACAAGGATAGCCTTTTGTGCATCTTCCTACCAATGTTTTCGAGTGGTTATTTTCTACTTCAAATGCCAGTCAATATGAGTTATTTTCTTATTATCCTATAAAAAAAGATGTCAAAATTTTAAGAAACTTTTCCCCTGGTCTCTGTGTTAAGATTGGCAATGGAAAAATAGCCACTAAAATAAAGCCGGAAGCGAGTGGGCCATTTTGGGGATCTTGGCTAAAAGTTTGTGTACAGTATAGTGTAAAATAAAAAGAAATCTCTCTTGTTTATGCAAAGAGTCCGCTCGGTTGAATACGGTTGAGACTGCAAGTAAGA